ACTCCCTAGCTGAAATCCCTTGCATAGTTATTGAGTCAACTGGCCTGTGAGATATCTAATAATAACTCTCTCCAAAGGAGCAAATGGTCATCTATAATTAGACGGGGCTACAGCCACCTCATACTCTGCAGAACAAGACAATACCATACCATTGTACTGCAGTGGAAATCCCAAAAATGTGTGTCATTTTAAAATTTTGTTTTATTTTAATAAACAGACACGAGGGTTTTACAATGAATTTCTGGCTAAGATGTTGCATAAAGTTGCTTGAGAATTTATAGTTGCAATACACCCACTGACCACTTGGGAGAGCAATCGCATCAATCACAAACTCATCGCTTAATCTGGTGGCTTTTTCTAAACTATCCGTGAGGCGCTACCAGTTGAGATAACCAAAAACAGGGATTCCTGAGAAGGAGCTGTTAAACCTCACAAGTTGTATGAGCACAACTCTGATATGCAGCTGTGCGTCTTAAAGTCAGGCTCTAGAAATTAAAGTGAAAGGATACGAATGCCATGCGTTCACACACATGTGCCCATCCCTTCAGCGAGGGAGGAGGGACTTGCTTCACTTCCTCAATTCTGCTCGGCAAGCAATATGAGTCAAGTTAGAGATAAAATCCAGGAACCTGCATTTGAAATTAAGTGAGTGGTTTATGCCAGCAAATTTAAAATGTCACTAATGAGAGGAGGGGGAAAAAAATCGTAATTCCTGTCTCTTCTGTCACACCAAGCCTCTGCACATCCTCCTTCACTGAATCCACGAACCTCCTATCTGGCAGCTTAATCTTCAACATATTTTCTCCATTATATTCACTATCCGTCCTCTGCACATGTCCAAACGATCTCAGCCTAATCTCTCTAGCATTATCTGCAAAACCTTTTAACCATAGCTGTTCCTCTGATATACTCATTTCTAATTTCCCAACAAAAATGTGAACATTTTCAGCTCTGTTACCTCCCATCTTTTTGTCAGTGTCACCTTCTCCTAACCATAAATCATAGAATGTGTCATTAATGTATTAAGTGTAGTATACTTCACTACCTGTGCTCCTTGAAGCTTCACATGTATTCTGTCTTGCTTCTACTAACTTTGATTTTCTTCTCTCCAGAGCATACCTCCACTCTTAACTCTCAAAATTAAAAAGGTCACTAATGAAAAGACAGTCTTAATTCCTGTCTGTCTTTCTATTTAATAAGTGAAAACAGTTAATGTTCAGATGTGAGGATCGCTTCATAGTTTGCCTTTAAAAATATAAAGTTAGCAATCCCCAGCTATACAAGGAAGTAACAAAATTATTATGGCCACAATTCTAACTTAGTCAAATATTAATTAAAAAAAGAAAAGAAAAAAAAGACGAGTGACAAATAATTTAAATGAGTGAACGATATTTTTAACGCTTTCTTACGTGAAATGTTATACCGTTATGTAGTCATGAATCTTATTCTGAAAACCCCCCACCGGAAGCGTAGCTAGTTTTGCGGTAATTTTATCACTTTTGCGGTAAAGTTGAGTGTGGCAGTCGGCATACAGAAGTAGCCCGGTGGGGGGGCAGAGCAGGCATCCAACAAGTTTCACACATCTTTTCTTTGAGCCAAGAAATACTTTGCTCCAAACCGCGCGGGCACAGGGACGCGGGAAAATATGGCTGGTCTTTCAGCCTGGTTTTGGAACGAGAGGTTCTGGCTCCCTCACAACGTAACCTGGGCGGATCTGGAGAACCCAGCTCCCGGGGTGGAGTATCCTAAAGCCGGACACTTGTTTACCGCCTTACCGCTAGCTTTGGGAATTTTCGTCGTAAGGATACTCTTTGAAAGGTTCGTATTTACCGCTCATGGCGTTATTTCTTCTTTAAAAGGGGGAGAGGGGGAATCTCCAAAAGTTAATTTTAACGGATGCTGTGCCCATCAGCAGGAAGATGTGTAAGCTAGCAGTGGGAGGACCACTCTCTTTAAATCACGGGTTCCCAACTTTTCTCACGCCAAACAGCCATTTCGTTATAGTCAGTGACTCAGCCTCCAAACTGCTGTCTCAACTGCATTTTTATTTTGTAGTTTCTTGTCCTTTTTCACTTCAAATTTAAGGTTAAACATGATCAAAGAAGGCTAACACGGTGGGGAGTTTACTAATGGTGATTTTGCCGGAACACTCCCTTGTCAAAAATAACATCTCAGGTGAAGCTTGTTTAGTAATCAGAGTGTGCGTTTTTAGTTGTCTTGTGGGGGTAAAGAAGAATATGTAGCTATCGCACTGCTAGTCCGCTACTTCATATCAAACCGGCACATCCTCTCGTCACATAGTATATGATTAGGAGCCATCCGTAAAACGGTTGGGTTGTGCTTTTGTTCATTCTGCATAATTGAAGAAGGGACACGCAGTGTTTCGTACCTTTGGATAGTAGCCAGCTGCAGGCCCTGCCACACAACTAAATGTCTTGAAGGCATTTGACTCTGTCACTGCACAACAATGAGTTTCATTATTTGTTTTTATAGTTGAGATATTCTTGTCTTGAGATATCTGATCTTCTTCCTCAAGTGCAGGTTTACTGCTTTAATTGTGATTTATTTATTGTTTTTTAAAAGATAGCATGTGGCATTTCCATGGCAGGTGTTGGCTGTTACAGGTGGGGCATAAATGTACCGACCTCTTTAGAAGATCTCAGTTGCTTAATTTCAACCGTTTCTGTGTGATTTAGCCTGTCTGTCTGGAAAATGAGCGATAGAGGGGATGTTGAAGATTAAATTTGAAAAACTCTTTCCAGACCTTGTAAAGAAAATGAATCAGTCACTGGTTTCCCACCTGAGTTGCCGCCACAATGGCTGACAGACCTGAGTGATAACAGGAAAACCACAGAGTCAGTTTTGAGCTGTGCTACGGACTGACCTGATAGGGCGGTTTCACAAATGTCAACTTGTTGTTTGATTGAAAGTTTTGATGAAGGGTTTGTTTAGAAGTCGATGTGTTGGGAAAGGTTTTGTCTGCTTATCAGTTTTTCAAGCTTGACAAACCAGTCGTGGAGGTGTGCGTAGTGCATTGCTTCAGTGAAATGGCATGAAGCTGAGCTCAGATAAAGCCCTAAATTCATGTTTTAGAAACTCATTAGCTAGGATTATTTAACACTTGTGTTATTTCATTTCTTCATTTAAAAAATAAAAATCCTGTTTCTCTCAATGTAGAAGATGTAGGATGTCAGCTTGTGGAGAAATATCACAGGTGTGATCTAGTACTTTGATATTTCTGAGGAAGTAATGAACAAAGAAACTGTACAGTTATCTGGTCGGTGTGGGATAACATGTTTCTGGCAGCGCTTCTCCTACTTTCACTGTGCAGGGAGAAGAGGATAAAGCTCACAGTGCTTGTACACAGTATATGGAACAGCTGTTTGGCCTCGGTGTTGCATATGTATGTGAACATGTATGACTGCTTGTTTGTCCTTTTTCTGCTCTAATCCTAGAGGTTACTTTCGAGTGCTCCCTTATTTCCCAGGGGGTCACCACAGCAGATGGATCTGCATGTTTGATTTGGCACAGATTTTTGTGCCAGATGCCCTTCCTGACACAACCCTCCCATTTATCTGGGCTTGGGACCAGTGGTGTACTAGCATGTGACCCCCTGAGGCTGGATTGGTGTCTCCTCCCAGTCAGAAACTGGGCAACTTTCATGTCTGAGGCACATGTGCTAACCTCTATAATTAACCTATTTTATGTAAAACATTACTTGTATATAGATGCTTTGTTAAAAAAAAAAGGTTTATGGAACAAAAAAGTTGTTCAAATATGCTGGAGTTTTAACCTCTTTGGACAACAGAAATTTGCCACAAAGTTTTTTTTTTTTTTTTTCATAGTGTATGTAGGTCTGCTCAATTATGATAAAAGCAATAATCACAATTACTTTGGAAAGACATTAATCGTTCAACATGATTGTTCTGTTATTTTACACAAAAGTAATCTTTTCATCCCAATTATGTTATAATTCGAAGTAAAATTTGTAATTGAATTGCAAAAGTCAAATTAAACACCCCGGCTTAAATATATGTGCAGTTTTTGGTTTTGCACCAATAATGAACCACCTCAAAATATCAGGTGTTCACAGGAAGCGCTGAAAGCAGGCAATTGTTTCTGGATGTGTTTGTCCAGAACCTTGCACTACGTCATGCATCCCTAGTTTCTTTTGGTCAGCTGTTGCACATGCTGCTGCTTTTATTTGCTCAATAAATGAACAGTGCCAGTTCTTTTGTGACACAGAACCACAAGACAAGCGTTGTATATTAAAGGATAATGCGCAAAATAAAAAAAAAATCCTTAAATAATCTTAAAAGATTGAACAAAAAACTTTAATTGTATCATTCTGTAAGTTTTATTCAGATGATTGTCTTTAGGTAATTTAAAGGACCCGTATTTCTCAAGAAATTTCCACAAGGTTAAGAGTTCATCCATGTGTTTTTACAGCAGGCCTAAGCCCCGGGAAGATTAAGCAAATCTGTCCCCTGACATCAAAAGCATGACGGTCTGAAATTCCCTCTGAACATCGCCTTTGCAAAAATGAACACCAGCGTCCAGGCTCTGGGGCTGCTTCGCCCTGATATGTGTAGGCAAAAACTTTGAATAGTCAATGTGTATCAATGCTACACAATATTATGCAAGTTCCTGTAACTCAAACCAGTACTGCTACCCCTAGCAGAGAGATTATTTTAAGGGTAAAACTTTCTCTTGAAAAACTTAAACCTTGGTTCTTTGGGGGAAAATGCAGGTAGCGTCACAACAAACAACAAACAGATGCTGACGCCAAGAACTACACCTCTGCTGGTGCACATGACATATAGAAACACACAGGAAAGAAGGGAATCTTCTTAACAGGACAGCCAGGACAGACGGACGATTATAATATGAGCTATTTCTGTTAGTATTAGGTAAGTACTATTGCTACTCAGGGGTGAGTTTACACTTTACACTTCGAGGGACATCTTGAAACAAAGTGTTCAACTTTGGCTGGTTAAATTTTGACGTAGTCAAGTGCCTGTAAATAAGGAGCAATCAGATATTGGAGGTGGTGAAGGGGAGCTGCTGAGCTGTTCGATAAGAAGCACATGGCACTGAGCCACCTGTCTCAGGTGCCAAAGCTGCTACTCAGGCCCTCTCTGATGAGAAGGTGTCCTCCGACAGCCTCGTGCAAGGTGATGTTATCAGAGAGCATTTACTGCGTGACTGTCTCATTCATTTATTAATCAGAAGGGAAAAAAAGCACATCACAGCTTTAGTTCCTACTCTGCTAAAGGAAATAAAGCTTGTCGCATGCACAGCACTGCACTCACACATGGTTCACACACAGGTTCAGTACACTTATGTCACTGTTGGAGAGTAGGCTCAATTTTTCTTATCATTTCAAGGAGTTACTCAGCCTAATCCAACCAAAAAAACGACACGCCAGTAGGCTTACGTTATGATTGTTGTTTCAGCATGCGCTGGATAGCTCAAAATACTAATAAACCCAATCACCTTAGCTGTTGTTGCCATGCAAAAGAGGGAAATAATAGGTGGAAGTCTTAGCAAATTTAGCTCTGTGTAGGTGGATCTTAGAACAAAGCATGGTGCCATAGTTAATTTCAGATCTCAGAATTTAAAACTGATCTAACTTAAGCTACAAATTGTGTTTTGTTTTTTCTTTTAACACTTTATAGATTAGCATCAGAAACCCCTCAGGATCTGTGGTAATAAACCTCGTTCTTGTTCCAGCATGTATAAGTCCTACTGTTTTATCAGACAATATTATTTGATAACATCCTCTAACGATTAGATAACGTATCAAAATCTTACATTTCACCTTCTACTGTTACTGTCTTCAAAGCATATGCCTTTGTCCTCGAAAAGCTAGGTTCACTCATGACATTATTTGCAGGATTTGTCTTTTGCCTCCAGGCAGTGCCTCACTCTGACTAACCCAGTAACAGCCCCCCCACCCCCGTTCTGGACCAGTTCATTCTTGTTCGATCGTAATCATCGTTTTGCCACTGGAGCTTATTTTCTAGATGTGAGCAGGCAGGCAGTTTTGCGTGTGCAAGCCATTGTAGGCCATGTCATGAGTTGTTAACAGTGTCAAAACTACAACCTGAGATGTATATAGGATAATAATTAGCCAAACCTGGTTTCCTAATCTGCTGCGGTACCTTTGGTCTGTGTCCTCATAAACTCTGTTATTCTATATTCTCTGTTCGTCTCCTTGTTGAGAGTTCAATGTCCTGACTACATAATCTAACCTTGTCTCTTCCCAAAGTCATGCTTCCATGTTAAGTCATTTGTGTTTCAAAACACATGCTGTAAAATCAATTCAAATGAAGGCCACAATTGCGTCGAATACTCTGCTATAATTAGCCTGTGCTTCAGCCTCCGCTCTGGCACTGGAAGGTTTACCAGCGTCAAGGTGGTACGTAGATCAGTGCTCTTCCCTTCACAGCTGTTCAGTACAGAGACCACACCAAGCCTGTCTCCTGGTAACAGGCCTTGTGTTGGTTAGGTCGTCAGTTTCTGAGAAGAAACAGGCATGTTTTGACATTTAACATAAATAGGTTAGCTTACACATGTTGCTGCTTTCCTCTCCCACTGCCGTTGTCTGACGACCAGCTCTGCAGGCTCAGACTTGAATGAATATTTGTTAATTCATGCTTTCCTTTATCATAAATTTAAGGACCAGTTGCGCCCAGAACAACCTTGTGGTTGTTGCTTGTGTCTGTGACACGTCAACTCGCGTTTTGAGTGTGCAGCCATTTAATAGAGATTGCAAGAGAGCTAATGTAGGCACTTAACTCTGGCGTCAGTTAAGAGCTGCACACTTTGTCGCATTCAGCACCGTGCAACCTCTGAGCTTTTATTTGATCAAAATGCCAAACACTGATCCTTGCATGTTGCCTTTACTTTACTTTAAAGTGTTTTATGCTCACGGTGCACTGTAAAACATGGACTGCCTTGAGTAATGTTTAACAACATCGTGCCACATGGAACTCCTCTATCAAACTTCTCTGCAGAAGTAGGTGTACTTTGGATTTAGTTTTTTTCTTTTGCACCAGTATGTTACAGTCATCATGCCACTCCAGTTCACTCTCAGTATTATGTTCAGTTTGTGAAGCGAAACTCAAATGACATTTAAAACCACCTATTTTTATTTTTATTATAGAGCCACATGTGGCTCTAAAATATGTCTTTATTTTCTTTGAACTTTATGAAGAGGGGTTAAATACACTGTCTACTTTGTATGATGTTGTATAAGTTATATAACCAAGCTACCTTGAAACGGCATACTTGTCATTGCTCTTGTGATTTTTAGCACAAGGAGAACAAAGTACTGAGAGGTAATTGTCTTTCTTACGGGGAAGGAGACAAAAAAACAGGGAGGACTAGAAGCTTGAGTGGTTTCATGTTAGACAAAAGACATTGATTTTTAGATTTGTGAGAACTTTTTCTTCTCTCTTTTGCGTTACTCATAAAGCAACACAAAGGCACTCAGGCTATTTTGTGATGAATTGCAGTTTCCCACCACTCTGTACACCACCAGCACAATAGAAGTTTAAACATGTAGAGGATTTTACTGCAATTCAGTCTGGTTTGCTATTGCTAAACTTGGACTTACAAAACCTATTTGTATACCAGAGATTTATGTTTTAATCTTAATGGATCTATATTATCAAACCTAAACCTTCTTGCATACTGGATAGAGTAAAGATAAGACCTGAGTGCATATCGAATTATAAAGCATTATAAATCCTGGATCTTAATTGGTCAAATGGGCAGGAGGTTAGGGTAACCCTAACCCCATATTGATGTATGCATGCATGAAAGTCTGTACACCTCTGCAACATAACGATCAACAGTGATATACAGCAGCATAAACTCAGTTATTTTTATTTACATAAATAACAAATGATATTGCAAGTGTCTGATTATATTTACCTAGCATGCCACTATCCTGCTCTACATTTTTGTTCTTAGACTCTCTTGAGGTAGCTTTGCATGATTAAAAGTTCAAAATAATCCCTATATATCTTACTCTTGATCTTAGAGCAGTTCCTCAGGTTATCCTGTCTGAAACAAAACATGTTAACTTTCTTGCCTCCCTTTAAAGCAGTTACTCTAAAACTTTTTCTGGCGACCTCACAAGTTTATTAATTTAAAAACGTTACATTTTGTTAAATAAAAGCAGGCAAACTCACATTTTCTTTAGGAAAAAAACAGTCATTCAGACCCACCTAAACCACATCTTTAAGCCAGCTGTTTTCTGATTGGCAGCCACCCATAAACGCAACAGTTCTGTGAGATGATCTAAGATGCCCTCTCACTGACATCATAAAGACCCAGCAGTAGAAGAAAACTTTCTAAGTGACAGCTTTTAGAGCTTTTGGCTTTGCACATATGCTGACCTCTTTATTTGAAATTTTGGCCATGTTTAATATGTCCATCTATTTGAAATATTTGACAGACAATGAGAAAAAGTAATAGATCCCATTTTTAAAATATTTTCTAAAAGAAGGAAATTGGCTTAAATTTGTCAAGTTTACCTGTTTCTGAGCCCCATTCACTCAGTTTCATTTTTATTTATACATTTTTTTATTTTTTTTTTTATTTTTAAAGACAAGAATGTCAATCTCATTGATAGGGTAACACAATCATTGCCAAAGTAACAGTGGGAGGACACAGTCGTGTCCAGAACTTCTGGAGCTAATATTAAATACTACTGCATCATGTGCGATTGCTTCCCCAGTGACCATCTCCCCAGAAAATGGGATGCTCTGGAAAATCAGTGCATGTGACTCGTGTTTAAGCTTTTATTCATGTTTCTCATTTGCTCCATGTGCACAGTTTATAGGGTTAGTAATACAATATCTTCCTGGAAAAAAAATACCAGAGTCTTGTGAAATAAATCTAGAGTATTAAAGTTATACCAAAACAAATATTTAAACTTTCTTTTATCGCTTACTGACTACATTTTTTCCAAACCTCCTTCAATACTCTAAGTTTACTCGAAGGAAAGTTCAGCAGTTTACCTCAAACCGCAGTATCTTAAAGTTGTGTTTGTGGGACATGATATTTCAGACTTTGTGACACTGTGATGATTTACAGAATACCACTGGCATGAACTGTATCTTGTGTTTTTGTGCAGCTACACTAGGGCACCGGCTGTAGTCGTTAATTGTCTCCTTAACAACAGGCTGAAGTGACTCACAGCTCTCGTACAATAAATACATGAATATGCTTATGTACATAGAGATTTGAATCTGAAGCTTCCTTACATAAGCTTGTAACATCACTACGTGTAGGCCAGAAGAAGCAGCTTAGGAAATGACTGTGGCAACACACTCACTGCTACATTGTCTTCAGTGGAATGTTTTTTGCTTCCTTTTTTCTGTATTACAGAAGAAAATCCATGTTTGCAAATCACAGGATTGTTCTGGTGTAATTTGTAGCAGTCTAGATTTAAGCTCGTCAGTAATACAGTTTAAACACATAGTTTAAGGCCATTGTTTCTGCTGCACAATCTGGACAAGTATCAGAATTTGACCTTTGCGGCTACTAGACTGTGCAGCTGTTGATTTAAAGTTGCACTAGGTGAGTGTAGCACTGTCCACCTGCCATACCACATACTGTGTGACAAGTCAGAACAATGGAAGTGCAGTAAGCACAGCTCTCACTACAGAGAGGAGGAGCAGGATAAGAAAGTAATGCAGGATGTTTCCTGTGGGGAAAGCACCGAATCATGCGCAGCGTGGTTGAGAGATGAATGATTGGTCTACCACATAGACGGTATTTTAAAAAAAAAAAAAAAAAAAAAAAAAAAAAAAAAGGGACGTAGCTTCAGGATCTGAAAAATAAAGTGAGGACCACAGGGGTGATGCAGGCCACTGCAAAAAGTCTTCCATTCCTATAGAAGGCTGTGGGGAAAAAGGACTTCTCACCTCTGGAAACACTTTTGTGATGAGTTTGTAGTTTCAGTCACTGGCCACCCCTCCACCAAGATGGCAACAGTTAAAATGTTCAGGTTATAAAAGTCCAAACTCATTTACTGTTTACAACTTGAGCCAAGATGATTAAAAAAGAGAGCGTTCAGACATCAAGGTCTCTCTAACAGAAGTAAAACTCAGGGTTTTGTAGCGTAACTTGTGGAATGATTATCAATTGCCTACAGGTGCCTTTGTTTCCGGATTGCTGAGGTGCTCACCGCACTCATATCACTCTCTGTCACTCCTCGTTTGCTATCACCGGACCTGTCTTTAGCCCATCTGCACCCACAAAATTCCCACAGTAGAACAGGCCGCTGGGGGCCTGGTTACACTTGCAGGATGAGCATGTCTGCACAAATGATAAAACCTGTAGGTTGATACCAATATACTACCATAGGTAGGTATCACCTTACAGCATGTATCTGTCACGCTCTAATGGATAATCTGCATATTACAGCCTGCACAGAACAGTAATCAGCCAGCATAAAAAAACAAGTGGCCTGTGAAATTGTTTGTGATTACAGGCAGTAATACATTTAAACCTGCTCTCAGCATATGACACTGTGAACTGTTTGCCTTGCCTGTTGAGCCACAGCATGTCTTTAGCATTTAGACAGACATTTGTGGTTTCTTTCCTCGCTAAAAGTGCCAGTTGAGTCATAATGCAGAACAGATCTGCAGGCAGGGATCACACAGGCTCAGAATGCCCATCCCAGAGTCTGCGTGGGCTAAATAGAGAATTTGTTTGTAAATTATTTTTGAATATATTCAAACCTACCGTGGACCTGAAGCTGTATGTGGGGAAAACAAGCTGACCCAAATAAATCGATGCCTGACTGCTGTGCATTGTATGTTTGCCAAACTTGCTGTCTACAACAAAGACACTCTAGACTGAAACTCTTACTTGAAAAAGAAAATGTACAAATTTCACAGATTACATACTGTGTTTCTCCGTATTAAACCACGAAGAAAGATGCTGCCTGACAAAGGATTGAGAGATACTTAAAAATCCTGCCAGAATTGGCCATGTATGTCTCATCTGAAATAGCTTGTGTGCATGCCTTAGCAACAGAAAGTGACTTTCCATCTCTCATCGCTGTCACAGATTTATTGCCGGTCCCTGTGCCCGAAGTCTCCACATTCATCAGGGTGCTGGAAGAAGAGCTCAGCCCAATGCAGTGCTGGAAAAAGTGTTTACATCCATCACAAAGGTTTGCATGACTTATTTCACTCTATTAAACATTTTGGTGCACAAGCATCAGTGCTCTTTGATATTATGCCTGAGTTCATTCATGTTATCTGTCAAATCAAGACGAACACGGCACTTGTGTTAATATTAAAAGTGCCTCGAGACACAAAATCCACTGAATTAAGATTTAACTCAAAGGCTGACATAATACAGTCATGTTTGCCTGGTTTTATGGCATTTCTGTGTGGTGGGGTGTGTTAAAGACTTCAGAAAAATCCTCTTTTCTCGCATGTGATTGCTACTGGTATTCTGCCCAAAGAAACTGCTGACATAAACATCAGCTTTTACTCTGTTTATTCATTTAGTGTTGATTCATTAAAAGCTCTGTTTAGACTGTGCTTATGTTAGAATTTTATTCTTATTCTTACATATTTTTTTTTGTCATCACTAATTGGTTATTTTCACCCAAATAAATGAAAATAAGAAAAGGTCGTCGTTTTGATATAAGTAAGTGCTTATGCGAAAAGAAAGAATGTTTGCACTCGAGATTGGAACTTAAAAGGTCTTATAGTAAGCACATACGATTTAGTAGGTACGCTGAGAAGTAACTCTGATCTATATCACTTTTATTTCTTTGTAACCTTATTGCTGTGGCCCTTACACAATAGTCGCAGTTTCTCTTGTAACCTGTTGGAAAAATTAATTGCCCAATCCTGGAATTAAAGAAACGGTTGCTGTTGTAACTATTTCATGCGTAGTTGGAAAACATGTTAAAATGATCAGCTTTTTTTTTTCTATACCATATGTTCGCAAATTATGTGCTATCATGATGTAAATTCCAATAGTGACAATTTTATTGTACACTCAACAAAGCCAATACAATACCTGTCTGTCATCAGATGCAGTTAAGCGGAAATATTTCTCCAGCATTTTTGTTTCCCTTTCTGTAAATAACACCACAGGCAGACAGTGCAGAACTGTCGATCGGTGCAGTTAAACTCCACCTGATCATATAGCAACTTTTCCCTACTAGGTCTTACAACTTCTGACAACTTTTTAAATATCTAATAACTTTATATGATCTCAGTTTGATAAGAAGTCTCAAAATTTTAACCTCAAATTGTTGTTTATTAACAAAGCAATAATACACAGGCTGGATTTCTAAAATAACCAAGCATATTTTATTTCCCTCGGGTTTCCAGTTTATTTATTTTGTCTTTGTTCTCATGACAGAATCCAGACTCTCGCCATCTGGATGGCCTGTCCAAGCAGCTGGACTGGGAGGTGCGAAAGGTCCAGCGTTGGTTCAGACACCGCAGGAACCAAGACAAACCCAGTACACACACTAAGTTCTGCGAGAGCATGTAGGTTAACTCCTATTGTGCTCACCTTTAACCTCTCTGCAGGCTCAAGTAAACTGTGGATTTGTTTTTGTGTTGATGACGTGTGATGGTGTGCGTATGTCCCAGTAGTTTATTTGTTTGTTTGTTTGTTTTTTAAATTTGGTTATTTGATAAGATCTTTTTATTTGCCTGGTCCTTCAAGGTCTTTTTCTTGTTTTGACTTGGATTAAATTAACATTTAGATTCAGGATCAGTTTACGCTGGAGTAGGAGTAGAGACCATGCACTCTAATTCTCAGCATTATTTTACACTTGTTGTTCTGTGGTTTTTGGTTAAAATGGTCAATTTCTTCTCCTACTTCTAGGTGGAGATTTACATTTTATTTGTGTATATTTACATATGGGTTCCAGTTTCTGTGGCAGGTGAGCGCACCCACAAATGAAGCTTTGATACTGTGACAACAGTTTTGTTACCAATGTTATTTGATATTTGTTAGAAGTCGGTGTATTTAATGGTATTGGCAATGTTTGGTTAAATAATGTGCTTTTGTCTTTACTTATTTTTAGTCCCCTTGGATGTGGGATACACGGCATTGTTGGTACGGTTACCCCTACCAGGTATGTTGTATCTCTAATAATTCCTTAAAGTCCATTAAACAAGCAGTGTTAACCATAACAGTCATTCCCAAATTGAAGCAACCAAATGAAGAATAAACTATTGATTTCTTGGTGATTGGACTGTACTCAGTGTTCTGTGAAAAGCTGTACTAAATAAACTGATGCACAGAAAGCCATGTGCAGATAAGTAGCTAATGTTGACTTTTTTTTTTCCCCTGTCCGACTGTCACTGCAGAAGCATTATCAGTATCTGTTTGTTCTTACTTCACTTCCTGATCTTCGGTACACAATAATGTGTCATAAAAACCAGCCTGACTACTATTTATAGCTCACAGACATTGCTTTCCTGTTGATAGCCCTATATTATGCTGAGATTAAAGCTAATAGTAATTCAGTTCAATTCAGTTTTATTTATACAGCACCAAATCACAACAACAGTCGCCTCAAGGCACTTTATATTGTAAGGTAGACCCTACAATAATACATACAGAGAATAACAATCATATGATCCCCTATGAGCAAGCACTTTGGCAACAGTGGGAAGGAAAAACTCCCTTTTAACAGGAAGGATGCTATACTATAATCTTCTGTTCTTGTTGGCTGGCCTGATTTTTAAAAAATTCTGAAATATTTTAAATGTACTGAATGAACCTCACAAGTTTTACAGGCATTGATGTGTTGATTGTCATTTAAGAAAAGTGAAGGACATTTGTCATACACTTTTTATCATATCATATGTGCGTCAGGCTTTTATTGAACAACATCAAATACAAGAAATTGAATGCGTGACACTTTTTTTATGCTTTACTTCTCAGGTACTTTTATCACACATGTTTGTAACAGAATTTATCAGTCACCACCAAATTTATTTTAATAAACTAAATCTAGCATTGAATTGTAGTTTTTAATATGAGAAGAATTTTTAGTTAACTCTCATAAAAATAACCGAAACACTGTTGTAAAGTTACTATGATAAAATAAAAAATGTGCAGAAAATGTGGTTTAAGTTTGTTATCGCAACCTGTCTAATCAGGCAAATCTGCATTGAGATATTGACTTTGAGTCAGATCCCATCAAAAGTGCTTTGATTAAATTGAGTTACCTTTTTCTGAACTTCCAAGTAATGCTCCCCTAACAGACAGCCTTCATGAAGCAGTAAGTAAAACGATTAATAATGAAGCTGAACAAGTTAAAAGAATAAATAAGTGGAATATGTAAGCTCAAAACAAGAAAGATAAGAAATAATGACAAAATACAAAAATTTTGGTTTGCACTATGCCTGGCAGGAAGCGGTTCACTGGAAAGCACAGCCTCATGCAATATTGCAACATTATGACATCATTCTGATTCACTAGGCAAAGATCACGTTGTGCACTGCGATGTTTTGCAACACTCCAACAAGTGGTGACAGCGTGTCGGTCTCTAGGAGAGTTTTAAAACCGGCACTTTAAAATAAGTGAAAGTCATTCAAACCTTCCTCCTGCTTTCTCTCTCTCTCTCTCTTCCCTTAGGCCATGACTCCAGGTCTTTATCACTACTATGTGACAGAACTGGCCTTCTACTGGTCGCTCATGTTCTCCCAGTTTACCGACATTAAAAGGAAGGTGAGGGGAACACTGATCACGTGTTTGCTAGATCAAATCGCAACAGATACTCCACAGCTGCAACTTTCCGTTAAACATTGGTCAATAAGTCTTTTGTTCCTTATTTGGCAGAGAAAATGAGAATGGGTGTGTATGTGATGCAGGGTTTTTCACATCTATGCACATAACATTAAACCTTAATTTTGACTTTGATTTATTAACCGAAAAACCAAAACAAAAAACAATATAACACATGTGACTTACAGTCACATGTGTTATATTGTTTTGGGAGGGGGAAGGGTGAAGCCGATGCTGCTCAGTCTGGATTCCTCGCATTTTCAGCACCAGGGCGCCCACTGTCATGTGATTGCAGGCTATAGTGGGCCTAAGTCTGTTAGAAGGATAGAAGTTCCACAGAAACGCAGCGTATGAGAGGTTGTTTGTTACAGCTGTTGGCGCTTTCCTTTAATGTCTTAATTTTTTTTTTCTTTCTATGCAACAAATGCCTGGCAAGTGTTTTAATTAAGCAGCTTCCAAATTTCCTAACCTGTTAATTTAATTAACCATATTTGCTTCTACTCAGGTGATTGCTTCACCGCCAGATTTTTTTCATCCTTCGCTCTATTTTTGCTTTGTGTAAGAAAAATATTGTGTGAATATTTACATTAAAGGATTTTCCAAACAGGTAAAAGGGACTTTACAGATTAAAGGTTTTAGGGCCTGTCAGAACAATCTGCGATAACAGTTTAATGTCCCACAGGCAGGAGATGTTAGCACTGTATGCTAATGGTATCTGACACACAAATGCTAACTGAGGTTTAACAGACTATCGGTGCATCTGTCTCTCAACCCCTGCAGTCTGCTACTAAAGCCCAGACGACCTGACTGTCAGATGCATGTTTTCTGCTTTAGCATTAGTCGCGATGCCTCTTTTCAACTGAGATCTGGCTGCACTGTACTGCATACCATCACCGGATCTAAAAGCGGCGTCACGTTGCTTCAGCAGGACCTGGACCTCTTTAGTCATCCAGGGTTTCTGGTTGGAATACACCCGGAGACGTTTGTCCACAGTGACACTGTTGACACAGAAGTTAATATATGAGAGCACTGATGTTGTGTGCTCTTCAAGGTCCTGATGTTCGAACACGCTCCAGTCCGTGTTTTCAAAACAGTCCTGCAGCTGATGTGATGCACCTTCTGGCCAGGTTTTCGCAGTTTTTGTGACTGGGGGGGCTCTTCTCCTAATGGGAGTGTATGCAGGGATCAACAGCATGGACATGTGGTAGTAACGTCTTGTTGTAATAGTCTCTAACCTGCAAGTATCTAAAGAAGTCATGCTTTGCCAGTCCGTATGTATCTGAGATGGTTTCATAGCTTTGGAATCCCCCATTTGTTGCTAGTGAACAAAAAGAAGTAATTCCTCTCAGAGACCACTGTTTAAAGGTCCCATCCAGCCTGGCAGGCACAAACTCCGGGTCATAAGCTATCCAATTCAAGGTCCTAGCCTGTTTTTCTATTTGTAGTTTCCCCACTACCCTGAACCATAGTTTCAGGGTGAACCGGGTCAAATGGTTCAAATCTTTATAAAATTTTTCAGCTTGGTTCTTATTTCCTAAAAGTGACTGTAGTGGGAAGTCTAATTGTGTAATTTCCATATTTTTCCATTTAGCTTCATAGTTTGGGGAGCACCAGTTTACCAGGGGCTTCAGTTGTGCGGCGTAGTAGTAATCTTGTAAGCACGGCAAAGCTCTCCCTCCCTTCTCTTTTTTTAGTTGCAGCGTTTTGTACTGGACCCTCGGTCGTCTGCCGTTCCAGATGAACCGTGAGATCCATCCGTCCCACTCGTCAAATTGTTTTTGGGGTATCTCCAGGGGTAGTGACTGGAAGAGATAGAGGATTCGAGGCAGAACGTTCATTTTAATTATTTCTATTCTATTACTCATATTCAATGGGAGGAGAGACCACCGAGTTAGGTCAGATTTGATCTCTTTGTTGAGACATGTCTTTCGTTAGGTTTACTCCCAAGTATTTTATTGTGGTAGAGTCCCATTTGAAGCTGAATTTCTTTACAGTTTCCGGTCGAGGTGTATAATTGAACGTAAGGGATTGAGTTTTTTGAATATTTAGTTTATAGCCAGAGTAGTGATTGTAGGCTTTTAGTAAGGTCATCAATTGGAACAAACTAGATTCAGGATTTGTAATAAAAAGAAGAACATCATCCGCGAACATACAAGTCTTGTGTTCTTCACCCCTGATCATTATTCCCCCATTAACTCTGTTTTCTTGCTTTTTTTTCTTCATTTTTTGGAAACAAACAAACCACAAAGCAACGCATTGAGACATGAAATACGTATTTCCATTTTATTTATGAAAAATGACAACTTTTAGCTGTTAATGTACAAAAACATCTCATTTGTCTCTTTGTAGTAGTCAAGCAGTACTAAGCAGTAATACTGGAAAAGAACATTTGGTATGGCATTTAGCTTCTGCAGTACAGTCACCAAATCCAACTGACGCAAATGATACATATTCCAAAACTATCACCACCGAAGCACTTCAACCTTACAGTACCATCTAAATGCAAAACATGTTGCAGCAGCACAGAGACTTTGAAGCTCAAGGGAGAGCCTTTTTTAGATACCTGCAGATAAGAGAATATATCAGGAAATACGTACAGGGCTTTGAGAGTCTCAGCATTTCCGGTTTCGACAAGTGTCTCCATCTCCAACTCCATCACATCTGATCTTAAGTTCAATTCACAAACCAGAAACAAATCATATAAATAATATATATGTAGTGGCACACGTGGGTATCTGAAGTCATTTCCGGTGCTGTGCTTAAAAAAACGTGAGCTCCACCGTGAGAAAAACGCGTTATTTTCATCTGCATTTCAAAGAGCTGAACAGCTGCGCTGAATGACAGAAATCACAAAGTATTTTAAAAATCCACACGGCTGAAAACTTTCACGTATAGCTCGCTTTAACGTGACCACTCTGCTAGCCGAGTGAAGCTACACGCACATTTACGTTCCCGTCGCTTACCCGCCATCACGGACAGCCTGGTGACAGCACAAACTATAACGGAAGGGTTTTAAAAGTATTCCGTGTCGGTGACAGCAGTGGACGTGCAGGCTCCACGTGATCTCTCCCCGCGTTTCACATCCACGCGGCTAGCGCCGGTGCGTTTGTGTGACGCTGTTGCTAGGCATTCTTTTTAGAAGTGGGCGGGGCTTATAGGCATACTTCAAAGCAACTAAATACTGTCACGTCACAGGACGCACATCATTACAAAGACCTCGAAAACCCATAAATAGGGGTGCTGCTACCAGGCACTATCATTCAGTTGAGTCCATGCATCGGAACCAGACACACGAGGTAAGAGAAAACACTAACACGAAAATGTATTCGGATGACATTAACACAGCCACTGTGGGTCCCCTCATAGATGGCTTTTTTGATCAACTAAACATGTCGCAGGTGCGATCCATGCTGGTTGGTCGCCCAGATGACTGCACTGTCCAGCTAATGTGTCACATGGCTGCTCAGATGGTGCAGCTCTGCCCGGAGTCAGATCACGGAGCCAGAGAAGGCTTCATAAAAGAACTGATCCAGGTGTTGTTAGGGAGATTTGCACACTGCACGTGCACCCAGTCAGGCAGCCAGCAGGACAATCAGCAGGTCTCACAGACAACAACCAGAGAAAGATCTGGAGTCCTCGCTGTCTGTGGAACCTTCACAAATGGCAAACACAGAAGCCTCAGAGGCTGAAAAAGCAGCCGTGGCTTCTGAGGAGCAGAAACCCTCTGCGTCACCTCGAGGTGAAGCAGAGAGAAAAGGGCTCATAAGCGCGGTCCTTCAGGCTGTCCTTTCCCAGGCTGCAAAAAAATCCACAGCCTGCCCATCAGACTCCCTCCACCAGCGCCTTTTAGATCAAATCTGCTCTGAAGTAAAAACAGCAGATTTGACTTTATCACCAAAGGCCCTACAAGATCTTGCAAAGGTCATTTTCAAAGACTTTTGCAAGAAAGCGCTCTCCAACCCAAAGCACACCTTAAGTCTATTGAAATTAGGAGAGCCAACAGTTGACAAACTTTTCATCTCCATCTTCAAGAAACACTTTGTAGTGTCCACACAGAAACTTGAGCCAAAGTCTTCTGAAATCAAAGCTCACAAGCAGCTTTCAGTTGAAGTCTGTGTGGAAGAACTTGTCAGGCGTGCTTTTAAAAAGGCACGTGTTCTGTATACAGATGACACAGTTTCTGAAATTACAAACCATTTGTTGAAGAAAATCTGGGCTGATGTCCAACATATCGATTTTCAGCCCTCCTCAAAGTCCTTCAGAACCTTACACAAGGTCATTTACAAATCTCTCCTTAAAGAGTATAAGGACCCCGAGTGTGTCACAATTCTCTTTAATCTCGACCATGAAGTAGGTGAGCAAAGAATCATCGAAACCTTTAAAGAACATCTGATGTCGGCAGCGGCGCCAGCAGGTCGCATCAGAAGGTTCTTCTCATTAATAGGTCGGAGGTTAGCCATCACCCGCAGAGAGTCGCGGGTGTTTCCCCTTTAAAAACAACAATTTGACATTGACTAGCTGGCATCAAAGTGACTCTTAAATTGGCTAACAACAAACAATTAAAACAAGCCAATTTATTTAACATCCAATCGAGTCATTTTAAACACCCCTGGACCGGTTGCGGCAGATGACCGTCCCTCACTGAGCCTGGTTCTGCCGGAAGTTTCTCCCCGTTAAAAGGGAGTTTTTCTTCCCCACTGTCGCCAAGTGCTTGCTCAGAGGGAATTGTCCGATTATTGGGGTCTTGTTTCTAGTCAGTAAATTACTGACTAGAACACTCTAAATTATTGAACAAAAATCAGAAAATCTAATAAAATTCTAAAAGAAAAATCACACTCTGATTTCTGCTTGTTTTCACTGTCTGTTGGGTGTGTGTGTGTGTATGTGTGTGTGTGTGTGTGTGTGTGTGTGTGTGTGTGTGTGTGTGTGTGTGTGTGTGTGTGTGTGTGTGTGTGTGTGTGTGTGTGTGTGTGTGTGTGTGTGTGTGTGTGTGTATGTGTGTGTGTGTGTGTGTGTGTGTGTGTGTGTGTGTCCAAGTCTTGCTGATTGGATGCCACATTTCAGTTTAATTGAGTTTTAACTCTTTACTTGCAGCTGCTCCAGATACTACACTTTACTATATTTACCTTTGGCCTTCTGAGGCCCAGGCTGCAGGAAGTACTATTAACACTTTGTAGTCAATTGTGCACCTTTGACATTACATTGCAACATTTTTGTGGGGTTTCTTGTGTGTCTTCCACATTTCAAACCCCTCAGTTTTATTGTTCAGTCCCTACAACGACCACCACCACTTCTGTTGTGTTTGTTATTTCATTATCTTTTTGAAATATAATGAGATTTGATGTGATTCACAATTTAAAGTTTAATCAGTGACTGCAAGCTACCTGCTTTCTCAGGAAACAAAGCAGCCACAAACCGTCAGTATCACAGTTGGTATTAGGTTTCTTGTTAAAAGCTGTCTTTGGTCTGCACCAAACACATCTGCCGTCACTAATGCCAAACCTGATTACTCAGTTCAGGCGACATTATGCCAGCAGGCCTGGAATTTGCCAGTATGTTGATTGGGAAACTACGGTGGACATCAAAGCTTTTTTTTTTTCTCTCTCCGGCCTGGAAACTTCTATTTCAGTTTACAGACAAATACTTTGACACCAACCACTGCAAGAGTTACCTGCTGGTTCTATGATTGAAATGAAGTTTATCTTGGAGATTGCTTTTGGCATTAAATGATTTGTCGTTAAGTTGCATTTTTTTTTCAGGACGGCTGCTTTTGGACAAACTGGCCTTTTCTGAAAGTAGAGTGATTTATGTTCTGTTAATTTGCCAGACATCCTGAAGCATTTTAGTTGTCAGCGCAGTGACATTTAGTTGTTTATTTGCTATTATTTTTCATAGGCGATCACAGCTTAATGTTATTCATGCCCTTCTTTTCCATCGTATATAAAATATGACTGAGGTTTTTGGGTTGCTTTTAGTGTTTATTTTGACTTTCTTCTCTCTAGATTTTCGTGTCTGTGGGAGAGGAAAACTTTAATATGGTCATCTCAGCCTGGCTAACCTGCTATGCAAAGAACAAGAAATATTTTGAGGCAATAATTGTGCAGAACTATTCTAGTACAGTTTAAGGGTAAAAATAGGGCGTTAGAAAGGGGCGTAATAGGTCCACATTCAATGGCTTGACTGTTTGCCCCTTTAGTGTTTACATTTGTTTACTATGTTTCTGATTCATGAGGACATTACATGCGGCATAATCATGTGTTTTGCCTTTGTTGCAAACATTTAAACTTATGGTACTTAGTCTGCTTACAGACATGAAATACAGCTTCAAATACTGACCTAATAAATGTATTGGCTGAAGTTCAAGGGTTGCCAGAGGGACTGTAGTTCAGCCAAAGTGTGGCATTACTGCAGGCACAAAATGAATTCAAAGGTAGTTGAGACAGTTCAGTATGGAAGTGGTAGGCACACAGATGCACATCACAGGAGGACAGTCATAGAGCATATACAGTGCTCTGTATAGTGCTCTGACTTTCCTATTTTCTTTACTTATTTTTTAGGACTTCCTGATCATGTTCATCCATCACCTCGCTACAGTCAGCCTGATCAGCTTTTCTTACGTCAACAACATGGCGCGAGTGGGGAGCCTCGTACTGTGCGTCCACGACGCCTCTGACTTCCTGCTAGAGGTCAGTTACTCACGCTGGTGTCAGTAAGCATTTTTTTTTCTTTGCTGTTTTGCATCCTGTACATGTTAATTCCCTGGAAGCTCTTCAAATCGCCACCTGCTGCTGGTTTGGTTTCACTGTCCTGGCAGAATTTAAAAGTTTTATTGTCATATACACAGTAAAATATATTTTCCTGTACAAAGAAATAATTCCTTTGCTGTCACAGCAGATGCCAAACAGAAAAAATGCACATATAAAATAGATGAATAGAATAAATCATTTAAAAGCAATATAAACAATTACAAGGAACTATACTAAGCAGACTAAAAAAATTAAATAAAAATAAAGATATGCAAAATATATACCAAAATACTCTGAGCTGAAATGGCTGTGTACATATTTATGTAATTTATAATGCAAACTGCAATATTTTAGATGAGCTGCGAGCTCCTGTCAATTGAAAGCACATATGACACGCAGCAGGAATTACGATGAAATGGTCAGGACACGTAGAAACTTATTATGGTAAAGGGAGTAAGATACAACTGCCATTGGTAATTGAGCAGCCTTGGTTTTTTCCCAAAGGATATTTATTTATTTATTTATTTTTGCCTGTCCCGTTTGGCTCTTTTGCCATCAGAATTATTGTCTAAAGGCGAAGACAGATGCCCAACGGATTTAAGGATATTTATTGCTTACCAGACTTTTTGCTTATCGCCAGTTGGGTCTCTAAACAATGGAGATGAACTGGAACCAACTTCTGTTTTTGGTAACTTCTTCTTATCTGTGCTGTGATACAGAACAAAACATATTATAATGCTTTATTTGTGCTCTTTGCTTTTGTGTGTGTGTTTCAACAGGCGGCCAAAATGACAAACTATGCCAAGTATCAGCGCTTGTGTGACTTCCTCTTCATCGTCTTTAGTGTGGCATTCTTTATCACACGGCTTGTTATATATCCAATATGGTAAGTACACCAGCAGTGTCAGAATGAATAGCTATAGGTGGTTATAGATTTTAGCTTTTTTCTTTTCATCTACCTGTTGTGCATTGGGAAGGTTATGTTAAACAGCTCTTAAATTTAAAAAACAAAGAAGAAGAAGAGCATAATCTGTTGTCACCTGATTGGCTGTGACATATCTAACAGCTGTCACTCAGAAACACGCAGCCTGCACTTAATCTGCAGTGCTTAAATGTATTGCTGCTGACCTAAGAATAAAGAAAAAAATGCCATGTGCTCCTGTTTAAATAAAATTATAATCTGAAACAGGTAGCAGCACTGTTCTAGATCAGATGAATCCTTTTTCAGGACGTCTTAAAGATTCACTGGCTTTACCTCTGGCCCAGAACACTGAGATCAGTGCTGGTGTTTACATTTAGGGACATGTTTGGATGCCTGCTATTCCTCGGCAGAGACCTGGATGTTGCAGCTCAACTTCCAGAAAGAGAGACAGTCCTACAGACAATAGGGAACCTATCACTGGCAAAAGTAACCTGAGCAGCTATATTCAGTGTCTTGGTGTGGATGAGTGATAAAGCTAGTGTTGCCGCTGCAGCTACCTGGGCTGAAATCTATACCTGTGCTGGGGAGGTGGGTCTGTTGACAACCTGTTGTCACTCAAGTGGATGTAAAGGAAGACATGACCTCACAGACCACTCAAGTGACATTACCGTAGATCTGTGTTACTCGCTTGCATCGCTGCCTTTGGCTTGCAGGTCGGGATTCCACTCTGTATGTTAAAGTAAGACTCGTTTAAAGAGTGCTGCTTAAGCTTATTTTCAGGTCTATTTCTGGGACTATAACATAGCCAGTCTTCACACATACGCCTGTTTATCTCCTCCTTCAAACAGGGTCCTGAACTCTACTATGTTTGAGAGCTGGGCCATAGTCGGGCCGTATCCGTCCTGGTGGCTCTTCAACGTTTTACTTCTGGTCCTCCAAGTGCTGCATATCATCTGGTCCTACCTCATAGCCCGTATAGCCATCAAAGCCATCCTGCGAGGCAAGGTGGGTCACAAGGAGAGTTCAGCTGTCAGGAACTGTTTATTTTGACTAAAGAAAATCTCCAATACAAGCTATTATAATGACAAGATTCACTCATTCACATTCATGGACACTTTATTGTGTACAATTTGTTAGTACCACCCTTTGCCTTCAGAACTGTCTTAATTCTTCATGGCACAGATTCAACAAGGTGCTGAAAACATTTCTCAGAGATTTTGGTTCATGATAGCATGTCAGTATTCCACAATGTTCCACCCCATCCAAAAGGTGCTCTACTGAATTGAGATCCTGGTGACTGTGAAGGTTGTTTGAGTGCAGTGAATTCAATTTTATATTCAAGAAACTGATTTCAGATTACTTAGGTTTTGGGATGCGGTGCGCTGTCCTGCTGGATCACATGATGCTACACTGTAGTCATAAAGAGATGGACATGGTGAGCAACAATACTCAGGTGGTCTGTTGCTTTAAATGCTCAGTTAGTAATAAGGAGTTCAAAGTGTCATTACACAAGCACCATTGTACCATTGATACAGAGCGGGATTGAATAATGCTTTGGTGGTGTGTTCAGGGATACTCTTCTGGATACATTGGTTCTAACTAGTGGTTATGTGAGTTTTTGTACTCTGTCCATTCTCTTATGTCCTCCGACATCAACAGTGAAGTTTTGCCCACTCACTGGATATTTTCTCTTTCTGAATATTCACTGCAAACCCTATAGATTGTTATCTGGGTAAATCCAAGTAGATCGTCAGTTGCTGTAACAACAATGGCACGTTCAAAGTCATTTAAATCTATTTTTTTTTTTTTTTTTTTTTAAATTCTAATGCTCAGTTTGAGCTTCAGCAGGTTGACTTGACCATGTGTACATGCTGCCATATGATTGGCTGATTAGGTGTTTGCCTTAACAAACAGTCAATGTATGTTTTATATCATGACTTCTGAATGTGTACTTTGCACTATTCCCTGACATTTTCATTTAATAAAAAGCAGGCCAGTCGATAATGAAAATCCTCAAATTGGGCTTTGAATGCAACACGTCAAACCCTTCCTGCACAAGAGGAACACAAAGTGTATTGTCACCTGGTAGAATGATTTTTGTAATGTGGTATGAACACCTGCTAGTTTCACTTCACTACAGTTGACACACCCTGGGCTGGAAGTTTATATTTTTATTACATTTGTGTTTGGTATGTTAGCACACCAAACAGAATGTTTGTCCAAGATGACACCACGGCTATTTTTGGTAACGCCTTTGCTGCCTCTTGTCTTTTTCCCCTCCATCCCTGACTGTGTCTCATTCTCTCTGCAGACGCAGTTTGCTTCCTCTCCCTCTGGAATGAGAGAGGGAGATCCTGTCTTTCTGTCTATCTTTGTCCAATGAGCCCTCCTCCGCTGCTCTCTTGCTTCTCTGCGTCTGCTCTGTCTGCTTGACAACTTCTCTGTGTTTGGCTGTAAGTTTCTGTTCACTCCCTCTGCCGTGATTTCTTTCACAAATCATCCGTCCTATTCGTTTGCATAAAGACTCATAGTAGCTGCAGTAGATTTTGATTAGACAGTCGTTGTACTGAATTTGAAGCCAGCAGTAAGAGGAGAGTAAATGATAAGTAATGTGGTAAAAGTGTTATGAATGTCAGGTATGTCCCACTGTTTCTCATTAGTGAGGACGGTGTCGAAATTGTCCCACAGCACCACCTTGTGGCAAATGTTGTGAGTATAATCCAGTTGTTACACTAACTGCGGTTTCCATTAATATGAAGCATCTTCTCGTAACGCTTTAATTTGTTGTTTATTACTCGCTGTGAGTCAAACTAAAGCGTGAAGCCACGTTCCAAGACCCTGTCCCTACGCCCGCTCACACCATTTGCACATTTATGTGAAAAGTTCCTTTAATTATTTCTTCTTTCAAACAAACTAACTGTAAGTGGAAGTGGGTAGTAAAGCCCTCCACCACCGTGTCTGCATTGATGCAAGTTCACTAACCTCATTTGTCAAAGGTGCAGCATCTTGTTTTGCGTCCAATATGGAGGAAACGTCAGAGTAATAACCAAGATGAGCTTTTGTGGAAGTGTTGTGCACTTGTTGGCCAACAAGACTTTGGACGTGTTTCTGAAAAAGTGCTTTGAAATACATGCATGTTTATTTTTTCTGTAAATGTTAATAAAAAGGAAGAGCTTTTTAGAAATATTGTAAATATATGAATGTAAGTGAAATAGAAGAGACACTTAGTAGTAATATAAATCATCTGAGATGTTGATTAGAAGTTCCTGTTTCCATCAGAAATGGGCGAAGACAAGTTTTCCGCTGTGTTTATGTCCTACCTGGTGTGAAAATGGGTTGCTTACGTCTGATGGTGATGTTTTAATATCAGACAACGATAACCCAGACAAACACAAAATGCACTTTTACGAATGATCATTTCATTCAAAAAATAGCTTTCATCCAAACCTACCTGACCCCAAGTGAAAAAGAAATAAAAATAACAAAGAGAAGAAAGCCAAAATTCACCCACAGCAATGTGAAACTCATTACCAATTATCACAAATGCTTGATTGGTTTTTCCGCTCTTCTGAGGAAGAACTACATTTATTAGGTTTACGGTGTGATTACTTTTTCACATATTGCCATGATGGCTTGGTTAGCATTATAATTTAAAAACTGCAGTGTCCTTGTTAATAAGATGCTAAAGCCATCACCTTCACAAATTACACAGAATGGCCTACTTTCAGTCTGCTGCGGTGTTGGTAATTAATTTTTTAACATTAATGTCATACTCTGCGTCTCCTAGGTGGGCAATGATGTCCGCAGCGACATAGAGAGCAGCTCTGAAGATGAGTCAGCCTCGCCAACACAAGGCTTCAAGACCTCCCCTCATCCCTGTAAGGGAGAAAATGGCACTAATGGCCACTGTGCTTCTGCCAAAGCCCGAGCTCAGAACCACAACAGCTGGTGACGCGGAGCCTGAAGCCCCCTGCCGTTCATCCCCTCGCAGTGTCTTAGAGAGCTTTGTCTTCTGACATTCCTCTGACGCGCAAAGTTCACTCCCACATTCTCTCTCACACACACACACACACACACACACACACACTACTCTGACAGTGAGTGCACAGAGATTCATGTGTTGGTGAACTGATGATAGACAGACACTGGGTCGTGTGATGAGGCGACACGTAAAAGCTGCAATGAAGTCTGTTGAAGCGAGTGATTTGCATAGCCTTGTTTTTACAAATGTTGGGATTTATCCTGTGCTTGAAGATGTTCTTTGGATTCAAAGTTCTCTCCCAGTTTTATTGGTCAGATGAACTTGTTTGGTTATTTCTAAGGGTTAATTCACAACAGACAGCACAGGGCACAGGTGTGTCACTGCAGACGTAGCAACATTAATGTAATATTACAGCTCTTAAAAGCACGACACCGGCTGTGAGAGACAGTGTGGCTGAACATATCTGCCCTTTGCAGTTCATTGTGAAACGACCCTTTACCGCAATGTTGTGAGAGATTTGTTTTATTGTTTGTTTTGTTTTTTTTTTACTTCCGAGACCAAAACGTTGATGAAATTGTTGGATATCACTGCCTGTAAAGAATTCCAGATATGAGGATAATAATAAAGGTCTGCAACTCCTACTTTAGTACCTAAAAAATGTGTCTTTCCAAATATATTCTGTTAAGTGTTTCTGCTTGTCTCATCTTATTTGAATCCTATTTCAATATATTACACAACACTGTGTAGCTGAATGCATTTAATGTCATATAATACAAACAATTACATCTTATTCCTGAAATAGTGCAGCTCAGAATGAATTTGACAGAAGCCAGTGATGGAAATATGCTCGTGGTTAATTTTCTGGGAGCTTTATAAACAAATCCTCGTCTTTAAGGGGGCCGTGCCCTTGCTGGAATCACACAAGTGTCCTCTGAAGAATAAACATCACGATTCGCTGCTGGATAAAGACGAGGAGGAATGAGAAATGTCCACATGTGTGCAAAAAGCAGAGCTTTTGTCAGTCTTTGATGACTTCAGGATCCTGGTTCTCTGCTGCCAGCTTCAGCTGCTTCTGCCTCTCCATGTAGCGGTACCCTCGCATTGCACACAGGTAGCCCCCGTACACCGTCAGCAGCATCATCGAGGCAGAAAATGCCCGATAGCCGATGTCTGCGAGCCGCTTTCCTGTTACCATGCTGGGGATCCTGAAGGAAATCAGGAACAAGAGATTAAAATGGGTTCATAAGCTGAAAAGTAACCAGTGACAACACTGCAAACATCACTGGTTCTTAAATCAAGAACTTGAAGTCAGTTATTAAAGAGAGAATATTTGTTATCTGTTAATTTGATAAATACTCCCAACATTATCACCATCATCCACACCTTTTACTATACGTGTGCATTAAATATAAGTACTGAACCCGCATGTTCCTGACAAGTAGTAGACTAAAATGGAAATACTCAACTATTGAGAAGTACTTGATACTTCCCACCATTGGACTGGACAAGCTGGAACAAGATGACTGAGATTTTATCAAAAACATTTGCTCCTGGCTTGTCACACAAACAAGCTCAGCTTTACCAATCACACCAGCAAAAACCTTAATTACAAATTAATTAAGTCTCAGGACCTCCTGGAGGCAGTGAGGCATTAAATCTTTTAGTTTTTATTCCTGCCAAGGCTTTTGTATCTTTAATATCTTATATTGGTAAACATTGGAGTCAACAGGATTTACAAAGTGCTATATAGAAAGTATATATTTTTTTAGTTTCCTGATGACTCTGCATTATAGTGCCTTTTCTCTGTTCAACATTAGAATCAATCAAGTCTTTTTTGCCACTTAAAGTATTTTTACAGAAGTGTAAGCTGCCCTTTTGCCTATGTTTCTACTGAAAAACACATTGTTACAGTTAATTCAACTTTTTACTTTACAAGAAACGCACTACAACATCTAACCTGTGGCAGGATTGTTCTTTCTGCCTCAAAAAGAGAGATATGTTTGATAGATTATAACAAGTAACTTCCAACAGTTTAAATACAGGCTAAATGGTTAAGATTTGTTTACATATTCCATCCCCGAGTTCCAGATGTTAGATCCGCAGTTAAACACATGCTGCTGATTTAGGAAACACGCCCACGTTAATTGGTGATAGTCACAGTTTAACATGACCTGCTGCCTTCCCAGTAAAAGGTAATTTCACCACAATATTCTGCACAAAATAAGCAAATGTAGCTTGTTTCCCCCGCGCTGAGCTGCTGGAGCTTTTGTTCCCAATCAGAGTCACTAATCTGGGTTAAAAACAAAAAACGACAAACTGGATTTAAAAAGAGGAGATGGCTACAGAGCACCTTACAAGTGAACTCGATTATTTAATAAGAATTTGGGGTGTTAGCATTTAAAATAAACAGATTTAATGACACACATTGATTGGATTGGTAGCCGTGTAACATGCAGAATGTGGTACAGTGGAATATATAAACAAATCTAACCAGTTAACGTAAAAAACATTTAACGTGGAACACCGGAAATCACTTTTTGGCTGGACACCTGGGAGCTGTTTTCATTCTCAGACAGGACAAGTTATCTCCTCCCTGTCAATGAGCTCAAAAACAGCTGTTGTCCAGCTCTGTGCGTGCGCATTAACAACCGATACACGACTCGAAAAAGCTCTCGTGGTCAACACTTTTGTCTTTTCTTACCTGGAATTATAAGACTGTGCTATCCTGCGTTATCACTCTCAATGTCAGCACAGCTGCTATGCTACTTTAGCGGACTCGCTTTCGTAAGGTGCAGGTACGGGCACTCAAATGAGACATTTCTCTTGATTTGGCAAAACAGCAGCGCGCCACCTACTTACGGGGGGTGTTTGCGGCAGCACACAGAGTGAATCTCTGAGTTTTTAGATATTTCCCCTGTAGTACTTAATCAAGACGCTACGGTTTATTTCAGAAGAACATTTTACAGTGAAGGTGCATTGTGGGACAAAAGGCAGGGCTAGTTGCTAAACTGTGAAACAAATAAAAATGGCCTGGTAAAAATAAATAAATAATAATAACAGCATTTTAATTGTGAAATATTGTTACGTTAGAGAAGGATCATATAAGTTGAATTTTAGTGGTCTACAAAATTAAACTGCATGTTTATTTTTATTTTTTTAAGTAAGTAAAATGTGATCAACTATTTTATACGGAAGCGTAGAGCTTCCCCGTGGCCATTCATACAAAACCAAAGAAAAAACACATCCTGTTTTTTGTCCAGTCCGCTATAGATCCGACTGAGCTGTATATGTGTCCCACTGTGTAAAATGAGTTTGACATCCCTGTTGTAGACGCAGAGACCGTATCAGAGGCTACCGTTACCATGGCGTCAGGCTGAACGTCAGCTTGTTGCCACCTTGGCTCACCCCTGCCTCCTAGAACCCAGAGCCCTTGAGTAAGTAAGTTCCATTAAGCGACTGTGCTAGACTTCAACTCTGGAAACTGTTCAACACTATTCACTTAAAAACAAAACAGCGTCATTATCGATCATATGCTAGCTATATGTAGCCATTTTGGTACCTTTTTTTTTTTATAAATGATCTTACTTACAAGGAGTTTAGTTTGATATTATTTAACTTTAAATAATTAACTAAATAAAGTTAACAGTTCGGTCAGCACTGTTTTCTACCCGGAGTCATTTAGGGGACGCACATATTACAATGGCAACCTGTTCGAAGAATAGCAAGGCTGATGCTGACGATGAAATAAACGATCCTGGCGCCGCTCCTTACGGTAACTTCATAAATTATTACAGCTTCAACCCTCCGGAGAACCGCCTGAGTCTGATTCCACCGGCTCTGCTCAGGGATTTAGGATACAGTGATGAGACCACGCTGATCGTGGACGTGGGCTGTAACTCAGGGGTAAGTCCACCTCTGTTGTTTTTTCATGCATACATACTAATGATTTAGGCCATATCCCTAAGTGGCCCCCTTTAAATAGGCAGGACTTTTTGATATGTTCTCGATTATGCATAAATGCTCATATTTGCGTTTAGACTCATTTTTATAATCCAGACTAATAATTAAATGTAAATTTCTGTCCTCATACCACATTTGTTTTAGTTAAATGACTTATCAGAGGTTTGGATATAAGGGATCACACCCATTACGTAAGTTCTGGTGACGTTATATCTTTAAAAACCTTCCTCAGAGACACTTTAAAACAGACACTTTAAAACAGATTTAGAGGCTGATCTTTAAGGATCACTTTAAATTGTCAGCTCTATAACAGCTGTCCTCTTTCTTTCCTTTCACCTACTGAACGGCAGGAACTGAGCATAGCTTTCTACAAACATCTGGTGCCTGAGGAACAGCCTGATAGGAGGAAAGTTCACCTCCTGGGCTTCGACTTGGATGAAACTCTAGTTCAGCGAGCGGAGGAGATAAACCCTCTGCCAAGCAGAATCACCTTCATCCCTCTCGACATCACCAAAGACACCAACCAGCTGCAGGACTACCTCAGCCTGCATGGCTGCTCTCACTTCCACTTGTGTCTGTGTCTAGCTGTGACCATGTGGGTCCATTTAAACCACGGAGACTTGGGCCTGCTGCAGCTGCTCTCTCGCCTGTCCTCCATGAGCCAGCACCTTCTGCTGGAGGCCCAGCCCTGGAAGTGTTATCGCTCTGCAGCCCGGCGGCTGAGGAAGCTGGGACGCTCGGACTTTGACCACTTTAAGACCCTGAAGATCCGAGGGGATGTGGCAGATCATGCCAGGGAACACCTAGAAAGACACTGTGGCATGGAGCTAATCCAGAGCTTTGGCAGCACTGCATGGGACCGTAAGCTGCTGCTTTTCAGAAAGACGTGAGGGGCTCTGTCAGGAGTTCCCATCAGCAGGAAGGACAGCAGAAACCACAAAGACAGATTGATATTAATCAGCAATTAGTTTGTTTCTTTTAAAGAAAATTGCTGCTTCAAATCTAAAGATTTTAAAGAAGTGATAATAAATAGACTTTGTGCTCTTAAGAGTGCAAGCAAGTGTATATGTACCTGTGTGTGTGTTGGGGTGGGGGGATAATAAGTGGTAGAAATTTGTGGCAATTTACACATTACAGCTTTAATGACATCATCAGTCCAAAACACTTCTAGCTACAGCATCCTGAAATCAAGCCTGTACTATCAAATGCGCTTTTTTGTACACATTTAATATTCAGCCCAGTCTTATTTCTTCATGCCAGATGGATCATTGTGCTGGAGTCATATCCTCCCGCACGATTTCACCACCACCCTTAACGATGGATCTATGATTTCTTCCAAATTCTGACCCTTTCTTCTAAATGTTGCAGCAGAAATCAAGACTCAGACCAGGCAATGTTTTTCTAATGTTTTGTTAGTCTGTATAAATTGTAATTTTCTGTTATTAGCTGACAGAGGTGGCAGCCAATGTAGTCTTGTGCTGAAGTAGTCAAGGTTCGACACATTGTGCGTTCAGAGTTGCTCTTCTGCAGACCTTGGTTATTTAAGTTACTGTTGCCTATTAGCTGGAAGAATATTATCCATTCTCCTCTAGCATTAGCCTAGAGAACAGTTTACTGGATATTTTCTGACTAGTCTCTGTAAACCTTAGAGATAACTGAGAGAAAAATCCCAGTACATGACCAGTTTCTGAAATACTATGAAAGACCATCCTGTCTGGCACTAACAACTAAGCCTCACTCAGTCACGTAAATCACCTTTCTTCTCCATTCTGATGCTCAATTTGAACTTCAACAGATCATCTTCATGTCTACATGACACAGTTACAATGTGACTGACCAAATTGATATTTGCGTGAAGAACCTGTGGATCTAAAAAAAAGTAGCCACTGAGTGTATAAGAACATCAGCTGATACTAGTTGTCAGATTTTCCTTTTACTCCATATAAATCAGTATAGGCTGAGATCTAAACATCTAATATCGGATTGCTCAGTTGTTTACGTGGTTCAAACCTTTGTTGTTCATTTCCAGGAAATGTTTTAGCCATTAACTAACATTTAAATGTTGGACAACAGATTAACCTTGTATGACTGAACCACAGCAGACAATAACGGCAAAACAAAGCAACCAACACAGCATTGTAATTTTCATAATTTTAATTACAGAATACTAAAAATAACATTACATAAAATGTCTTTTTAAAAGAAACCATTGAATATTACAAAGGTTGTAAATTTTGTAAAGTTAGGATATAAAATCTTTGAACAGTGGTGCATAATTGAAAAAGAAAAATAATTCTCATAAAATGTATATATTAACTGTTCTACATTAAAAAAAAAAAAAAAAAAAAAAAATGAGATGGGACACAAATTGCAGACAGACAGATGAGTGGACACCGCCATTACTGCAGTGAGCTCTCCTTTCAAAGGAAGGAGGACTTGAGATGCAAAGCTCACACACCACAATCGATTTAAGTTTTCAACTTATTTCTAAGCTAAAAACAGAAAAAAAAAAAAAGGGGGGGGGGTTACCATATACAAGAGAGGAAGAACAGACAAGCTTGAGAGACTACAAAGTGACTTGGTGACTGCTCCCAATATTTATAACGCATCTCAAACCGGGTGAAAACCCGACTACACTGGCCTTGGTTCCATAATGTTTTTTCCACAGGTTCAAAGCTGTCCAAAATTGTGAAAAATCTCATACTTGAAATAATTCCACCGAGACAGGGAAACAATGATCAGGCATCTTTTTAGCCTACTAACACTGCCGTTCCCATTTCCAAATTTACAACCGGTCAGTCGGATCCACTGAACACCACCGTGGTCACAACTCAATATCAGGAGGTCGACCTTAAGTGAAATGGACCTTTAAACACGCGCGCACACAATCACACACACACGCACACACGCACACAAACACAAAGTTTGAGGGGGGAAAAAAACATGCCAAAAAAAAAAAAAAAAAAAATCATCCATCAATGTGCTTGCTTTCTTCCTCTTCTCTCTGAGTTTTGCATCACCCTGTGTCATTTCATGAGCCCTTGTTATTAATGTCTGAGTTAACACCACAGGGGAAAAAAATAAAATAAATCACCAACTGAGGACATTCAGAGCCTGTTTGAACCACAGATGCTCCTCACACTGGCCAGTCATGTCCAAGCAGAGGTATTTCATCAGCCTCCTGCTCTTTGGGAGACAGTTTGTGTCACATTTTTGGTTAACAGACACGGAGCAGGGAAGCAATCAAAAGTTCATTAGGTCATTGTTATTTTATAAAAGATATGAATTTAATTGAGTTACGCTGAGTGGCAGAATCGCATTTACTTCTGTGCAGCAGTAGTGGTTTTAGTGGCCCATGAAGACCAGGTGAAAGAGAGGGGGAGAAACATGAGAAGCTAGAAGTGAACAGACAATAACCCAGAGGACATCTTAGAAGACAAAAGGATGTCTGAGACAACAGGCATTTAAGATGAACTGAGGCGCGAGACACCAGCAGAGCTACTTGGTTTGGCTGGTCTGCTGCTCAGACTGCTGGAGATTTTTTTGTTTTTTGTTTTCTTTCCATGAGGGATCCAGGAGCTTCTGCTTAATGTGTAAGCTAATAATGCTGTTGAGATTCAGATGAGTCCCCCTGAGTTAGTGCACACATCAGAGTCAGGCAGGCCTCGCCCGCTTGTTCGTTAAGAAATTCACAAGAAAAAAAAAAAAAAAAAGACACAAGAACAAAACCTCAATTTCATAGTCAAGCTTAGAATTAGCTTTGGAGACAGAGAGCCTGTCGTAGTTTTACAAGTCTGTGTTTGGGGACTGAGTCGATGTTAGTGTGGAGGAGGCAGAGGGAAAGTTCAGGTGTAAAATACGGCAGCTTGACGCAAAGCAGTCCAGCTGACGTCTGAGTCCTGCTCATCTTATGAAAATTCACAAGTTTGCTCTTTTTTTTTTTTTTCCCTTTATTCTTCTCCTCATTGTTGTTGCTGTGAAGGTAATGTGCGCTTTGTATTGCCCAACCAGAGACAGAGCTGTGGTGTCTGAGCATGCTCATACTTTTAACGTAGCAACCTGAACATCTGCCATCGTTTCTCAAGTGGTCGTCGGTGTGAATCTGCCCAGCAGGCGAGCGGCTGGGGAATCTGGTCAGGTGCTGGTGTTGCAGTTTACAACTGACTGGGTGTCAGTCAAACAAACAGGTAGGTAAGACAGGCAGGTGGGCTGTAACAGGGCTTGGAGGGGGAGAGCCGAGGCTAGATCAGGGGGGCTGTGTCTATCAAGCCTTTGTTTGGGTCCAGACTGGCAAAGAAGCGGACGTCCCGGTCCTTGTCGGACTGCAGAGCCATCACGGTCTCTTCCAGCTCGTCAGCGCAAGCACAGCCCGGATCCTTGAAGTACGCTGGACACAAAACTCAGTTAGTGGGAAGAATCAAAAGTTATGAGCAAATGACCAGAGCTTGTGCTGAAGGGAGAGTAACTTTGACTTTAAGAAACAAAGCAACTGCAACTTCAGTGTCACAACACCGACTCACCTAAATCTCAGAGCTCAATATAGTTACCAACATAAAAACATATTTAATACACTCAAAGGGAGAAGTATGTTATGACCAAAAGCTTACGATGATAACAGAGGGAAAAAAAAAAAAAAAAAAAAAAAAAAGACACCCCTGATTCTGCCCAAAGCTCAAAAATCTACAAGTGTACCAACATCTCACGCCATGCTGTTGGTTAACTTTGTAAAACCGAATGCTGACAGCTTTACAATTATGCCCTGTACTTTTTCTTGATGAAGTGTGAAAACCTTTAGATGGTCAGTTTTTTTTTTATGGATTACCTTTCTCCATCACGCTCTGTCGTAGAGCCTTGGCTACCAGGACGCGGACGTTTGCCACGGGGTCTGATGAGAGGCTGAGCAGGCTGGGCAGTAGATGCTGACTGAACTGCTCCATGGGCATGCAATCCTCCTCCACTACGGCCTATGGGAAATATTTGGCAAGAGCAAACCAAATGCAGGAAGTAGTGAGTCAAAATGCACTCAGTGAGGGTGATGCAGCAACATAACGAAAGCATCTGACCACACAGAAAAGCTGACAAACAGGCTCATGTCACTGCACATCTCTTATGCGACGTGAACATGACATGAAACAACCACTGCTATTGCATGTATCGTCTGTCCATTTAAAACAATCACACACCAGGAGAAAGCTCACATTTCATCATAACAATTTAAAAACCAGATTGTGAATTCTAATGTAGTATTACATTAAACATTAACATGATTAACAATTCATAATGAGGTTTATATACATGTGACATGTACATGCTTATGTTTTTTTTTTTTGTTTTTTCATTTGTTTACATTAAGAGACACGTTTAAGACAAATTTTCACTGCATTCAAATGGACAAAGGTTTTTATTGAAAGTAAATTATACATTATCCAGGAACAATAACTGTTTTTCCCCCCCACTTGGTCAGAACAAGCCTTTTGGGGATTTGGGGGGGGGGGGGGGGGGGGGGGGGCTGTTCATCTGATAAACTAAATGCCTGCTCTGCTTCAGTAATTTTAACTCCAATTAACAAAAGTAGTTTTAAGGGAATAATTCTATTACATAGTTTGTGATTTTTCACAAACCTCCTTGGGGATGCCCCTCCCCAAAAAAACTTTTATAAATGGCACTTCAGCTTTGTCCTAACAGGAAGTGACAAGCCGACAAGTGAATGACATTCCATGACATCCAGTGACTATGGGTCACGTAACCACAGGCGACAGGAAATGGGTGGGACCAGAGATAAACAATTTCCAGGTGAGTGACTGAAGAGGTCACCAGTGAGCACACAGGATATCATTGATTGCCATCTGACCAGGACTAAATCTAGTAGAAGGTTATCTAGGCAACCAGAGCCTGGAATATCCTTAAATGACTGGCTGTCAGCTTCAACACTTCGTGTATATGCAGCTTGAAGGCTGTTTTACCTCAAAGCTCCAAATGGCATCTGGTTTGTCACTTAATTTATTTTATTCCATTTCCCAGTAGCAGCAGCAGCAGCATGGACAGTCACTGATGCAGTTACAGACATTTAAAGCCGAGAGAACTGGGACACTTGAGATGAGCATTACCCACCTGGCAGATAAAGGCAAAGGCCTGCCTCCCCACCCACTTGGGACAGTGGCAGAATCTAACAGTGAGCTCGTTGATGAAGTTCAGGCCAAGGTCATCAGCCCCGCAAGCATAAAGCTTCTGCAGGATCTCCACCACCTGAGAACACAAGAGTTGACGAGTGAGTCGCTGAGAAAAAAAAAAACGTACATTTTTTTCCCTCTGCAGTGCATCTAAAAGGAAAAGCCAATCTATATTTAGCATGATTATGAATTTGTCTCTGTTACACAAACAAGAACTTGGCGGTACAGGTTTCCCCTCAGTTAATCTGTCGACTGTACTGTGTCCTTGGAGATGAGCCAAGATGATCAAACACAGCCATCAGGACGTTACTTCATCGGTCACAGGCCACGCATGAACACTTCCATTTGAGTGATTCATTTCCTCTAAAGTTTCCAGAGTTTCTGCTGACCTCGCTATGTGTTACAAGCTGCCAAAGCTGCCCCCCCACCAATCATCATTAAAATCATCCAGGGTGGAAGGTTTTTAAATACAAACAAACAAAAAAAGTAAGCTTACCAGTTTGTAAGAGATCCACCTGACCTCGGAGACTTTATCAGAGCAGAGTGTGAGCGCTATCTCTCTGAGGTAATCATACACGTCATAGTGGCTGTACAGCTCTATGATCAGGATCAGCTGTCTGCAGAGGGGGAAAGGAGCAGAGTGCTTCACTCAAATACACGGTACACGCTAGTACAATCAACCAAAAAGTGAATCACAATTTAAGAGCAATGAAGTTAAATCAAACAGCAAGAGCAGAATTAAACAGTAAAACAATGTGAGCCTATCTGAACGAGTGTTAGCTTAAAATTAAATGTGTTTCCAGCTTTTCATCCTGACAGTAGGAAGAAAAGACGACATACTCTGCCAGCTCGTATCTAAATCTCCAGTTGCGACTGTTGTCCGTCACCATGAACTCCTGCAGCTGGTACAGATATTCTCTCCTCTTGTCTGCGTGCAGCAGCTACAACAACAACAAGATGAACACAGAGCAGATCAATTAGAGAGCTAGCCTATCAATATGGCTCAGTTTTTACTGGAAACGACAAAATTCTGCCACCGAGTGTGCTAAAAATCAAAGAGCTGTAAAAACAAAGCATTTCAGAAGTGTGAATGTCAACACAGCCGAACCAAAGTTATATCTTACTTGATCCAGAAGTAAGTGAACCTGTAATCTTACCTTCAGGAAGTCATAAAGGTGTTTGAGCACACCAATGCGGACCTCATCCAAGTCTTTGAGGAAACCGTTGAAGATGGGTACCAGATCAGCTGCTGTCAGCTGGTCCCCCAGGATAACCGCCAACTCGTGTATGGAAAAAGCCAGTGTACGCCGCACCTTCCACTGAGAGCGAGGGAGGAGAGAAAGGGCCATAAAAGGATTATAACACCATCCATGAACAAGGAAGCGGCTTATAAAACATCCTTTTAGCTTCTTTTTCCACATCAAAAAACACAATCAAATTACTAAGAAAAACTTAAACCACTGAAAAACATCAACCTTACATTAATGCTTATAGAGACATTCAGTGCTGTGAGGAAATAAAGGGTAACAGTGTGAGTGCTGTCACAATCACTGCTCTTTGAAGTACACCAACACTGTTGCGTTAAGGTCTCATTTAAATGTCATTCAGAAACTGACACTCATGAGAGGAACATGTTGAAATCTTAAGCCACCAGACCAACACTGTGGTCGAAGAAAAAAAAAAAAAAAAAAAAAAACCCACACGTGACACATCCAGAATTTACTTTAGTAGTCTTGAAATGCTTAAGAGTCATCCATCAAAATAAAGTTTAGTCATTGTTTGTGTTCTTGCCTTCTCTTCCTTATAAGAAGCATATAAAAATTCAACACTGCAAGGAGTCTGCTTCCAGTTAGCTGACCACTGACACGGCACAGTAGCTCTCAACGTCTGGCAGAAATCCCAGAGCTCCAAAATCCAAACAACATATTCTTTGTCAGTTAGTGACAGCTTAGTGTGGCAGCTTAGATTTCTCATGTGGTGTTGTTTGTCCTATTAGAGTCACACAGCAAATCTAATCCCAAAATAACCCTGTGCTTCCTTTCATGTTTGCATTACTACCTGCACATCAGTAGCGAGCGTTTCATATGTATCTTTGAGGCAGTGCCAGTTCTGGCGACCCAGAGTAAGCGCGACCCCCGGCAGGCTGAAGGCACAGTGTTTGGCGATCTCCGTGTCCACCGTCTGGGCGCGGGCCGGGTCCGTCATAGAGAGGTACTGATCCAGCAGCTGCTGCGGGATCACGTTCTGGAAACGAAGATTAATGCGTTTGCACTCAGAGCAGCAGGCAAGCATAGCGACTAATCCATGTCAGTGCTAATCAATACCAACTCTTAGATGGCGATCAATATTTATAGGTTGGAAAATATCATTGCTGACTCACCTGGACCTTAGGCTTATCCTCAGATAATGGACTGTGAGGGGAGTCATCCTTTCCCTCCTCTTCCATACTCTCAATTAGTTCAGACTCCTGAGGAAATGACAAATTCACACAGATACTGTTAATGATCGCAGACGTGCACCAAGTACTGGAGAAAAACAATTCATACCAGGTCGAAATTAGTTACAGCTGTTTGTAAAAACAGTTACAATGTAGCTCTGGAGCCTTTGATATCAGACGCACCCATGCTGGACTTGAGACACTTGATTACGTAAAGTAAAAAACAGTTTCTAGTTTAAACTGAGCCTTTCACAATGTTAATGTATTAAAGGCTTTCTAATTGCCCAGTGCAATCTCTTCCCCTGAGCTGCAAACCTATGACAATGCAAATAACATGAGCGGTCAGATCCAGCAGACCTCCTAGAGCAACACTGATCATAATAGCAACAACACTGGCACAGCAATATAAAATTATGCAGTGCCTTTTTGCTTTGAGCTACAGCAACCTTAACCTGACTTGCAGCTCCTTAATAAAAATGCGACTCCAAGCTGGGGTTAAGCAGCACAATAAGCTGGCTGTTCAGTTTGTGTCCTTTCCTAAAAGCGTCACATCTTTACATCCTTCTATTTTTTTTTTTCCCTTCTCTTTCCTCCCATCCAGCCCCCGGCTAGTCGTAGCAGACAACCAACCCTTCCTGAGCCTGGCTCTGCTGGAGGCTTTTTCCTCCTCGCTGCCACCAGACAGCGAGGAGGAAAAAAAACCTCCAGCAACCAAAAGCTTGCTCACAAGGGAATGAATCACTGAGTGTTGAGTTTCTTTCTATAATTTTTATGGAATTATAAGCTAAATGTAAAGTAAAGGGAAAAAATGCTGACTTGATTTGGCATTTCATTTCTTTATCAAATCCTGCAGAACAAACATTAACTTCACGAATGAAAACACACAGAAATGCATGTTCTGATCATCAGTGATGCCACAAGACAGAACAGACGTTCTAGCTCACACCTAGTTTTAGTTTAGCTGCAATAATAGAGTATGCATTACAGCAGTGTGAAAATACTGTCAACTACTTGCATCAAGAAAAATCCAGTCACATTAGTTGACAGTCACTGGCTCGTACCAGAACGGGGGAGTTGGGAGGAGACTGCTCCTGGTTTTCCAGTGGCTCCGTCTGCGTTTCCTCGTCTCCTTGCTCCTGGATGGGGCACGACTCTGAGGATGTGGGAGTTTTTGACATTTGCTCTTCGTCTGTGGATTGCACCTCTATCTCTGACTGAACCTCCAAACTTTCACTCTCTGCAGAAGGGCTGTCTGCACCGTTTTCAGTCTGAAGCTCTGGCTGAAGCTCTGGCTGGGGTTCAGTCGGGCTGTCGTCTGTCGGATTGTCGAGCTGGGCTGCCTTTAGAGCTGCCGACAACACTTGAACTTGAGCTGGAGGCGAATTACATGCAAAGCTGAATCTACATGCCAGTTCAGTACAAAAAGACAAAAGATATTCTACCTGCGTATCCTTACCTTGTACATCGGGGTCATCCATGTGTGGCTGCAAACAGTCCAAAACCTTCTGGATCTGGTCGCTGGTAGCTTGTTTGCCATGGTTAGACTTGGAATCATTACAATTCTCTGTAGGTTCCTCTTCTTCTCTCTTTTCCTCCTTTACCTCTTCCATTTTTTGACAACTCAGCATCTCCAGTTCCCCGCTGATGTCAGGTAAAGGAGACCTCCAATAGTGAAAAGAATTAAAGTTCTCGTCTGTCTGTTCCGCCTCTTTCGTGTTCTTAGCGTTGTTTGTAGCTGTCGGGCTATCACTGCTGTTTGTGTGGGTGAAACCGCCATGCATCTCTTCAGGGACTAAGGTGTGGCTGTTATCAAAGTTGTGCAATTCCTCGCTGTCAGCTGTTGACACATGTTCTGGTGACGGCGTGGCGCGCCCGTCCTGGTTTGGAGGCGTGTGGGTGATGGTTCTTTCTGTGTGGCAGCTGCTAATGTCAGAGCAGTTCAGGGAGTTTAGGGAACAGCCGCTGAAATGAGGAAGAGAAAAAGAAATTGTAGATAACTTTGAGTAGATGCATCCATTCAAAGCCAGCAGTTAAATGTTTCCAATTGCCTTTTACCTCCGACAGATTTTTTTTTAAGTTGTAAACAGAAGCACACTTAAAAGCTTAATGGAAGATTGAGGATTCATGAAGAAAAAAAAAATAAAATAAAATAAAATCTGTTCCATTTATTTGACATTTTTTCCCCTCCACATAAAAACTGATAAAAAATGAAAAGAAAACTGAACCATTCAGGTCACACCCAGTGAATTCAAACCATGATTCACTTAACTGATGATGCAACAGTCAGAAGCGTCTGTGCCAAGACCAAACTCAAACCTCCTGCATGTTGATATAATCACAGCCTGAACTACATTTCACAGCTTACTTAATGGCCTAAACATCCAGACCTAAGAAGACACGACTCGAGACATACGCATTTCGTCTTAAACTATGTGGACATGACAAAAGAAGGACATTTCTGAGTCTCTTAATGCTTCTTGTTATAGCAGTGATAAACAGGTGATCTTACCTGTCAGATGTACATCTGGGGACCTCTAGTAGTGCACCATCCTCTCTGAAGTGAAGGCCTGTGGTGGATGGGTTAGCAAAGGTGGAGATGAAGCGCCCCAGAGACTGGAAAGCCGCCTGTCGTACCTGAAAGTGGAGTATATAGAAATTTGTCTTGCCAATCATTCAAATTTTATCAGTCTTAGAAACGATGAGGTAAGAAATACCCTCAAAAGATAGTACACAAACTGCAAGCTCAGAAACAAAAAGACACACACACACACACACACACAGCTTGTGGATCTGGTTAGATGATGATCCTGTGCTGCTACACAGAAGAAAATGTGTATTCTGCTCTTAATTTTAGACACATCAAAAGGACAACACTCTGATTTCAAGTCCCAGTTTGAAAGTCTGACAAGTTGCAAGCATACCGCATCGAAAACAGGGAAGATGGATGTAAGATAGCTCCAAGCAACAACTGCCCTAATTTCATCACACCACTCAGGACGTTACACTTGATTGTTATTGTAATTTTAACAAAATCCCCCCCCCTTTCTTCCATTTCCAAGTTATTTTCCTCTCTGTCCTCGTGTGTTTGTGTATCTTACCCAGCGGGACTGGTCACTGATGAGGCTGATGAACAGGGGGGACAATTTGGAGCGCCGCACCTCTGGAGAGGTGGAATTTGAGACCATCATGAAGCACTCGGCACAGGCTTTCCTGATGCCCCAAAGGCTGTCTGAGCACAGGTCGAAGAACTTGGGCATCTATGTCAAAATAAAGTCACATCAGTACAGCCTGAAACCTTAAACCATGAAGAAACTACTGACGTGCAAACGTTACATAACATCATTCTGATTACACAACAGTTTAACACAACATAAGGCACTTTATGCAAATTCATAAGGCACATCTAAAGAAAAGCTTCAAGGACACAGTACTAAACTTTCATCTTGCATAATAGCATAAAATTACACACCGAATCTGTGAGAAAAACAGTATTGGGCATCTTACCAGCAGTTTTTCTGTGGCCTCCTGGCCTACAATTGAACAAAATTCTCCAAAATTGGCTGCACACACCTGTAATACAAAAATGATACCAATGTCTCTGTGTTAAGAGTAAAACTGTAAAAAAATTAATGTTCCTGAATGAATAAGAAGGTACCAAGAAACAGCATCTTAAAAAGAGTTGAGTCCCAATATCACAAATAGGAACCTGTACTGATTTGTATGATTCATTCAGAGTGCAGCCTTGAGGCAGATTGCTTTATAAAATGCTTTTTATACAAGTTTCTATAACAAGCTATCTGCCAAGTTAAACTACCTTTACGGCTCCTAAATCGTGTTCCCCAACTGGCACCAGTTACGCCAGCCAATTAAAATTCCACACTGAATACACAACAGCGCAGTGTAAGCTAAGTTACCGCACATAAACGAATTAAAGTTAGCTCAATGAGTGATTGGATTTACACTAATGGAACAGCAGAACCACAATTAAATTTTTACTGTCAAAGTTGTGACTTCAGTCTAAACATCTGCTTTAAGTCATCTCTGAGTTTTAAAGATACCTTCGGGTTGAGCTCGTTACCTTGCGCACTTGGAAGAGTCTGGCATCACTGCACAGTTCACAGAAACGTGGCAGCAACAAGTGCTCCACTGTGTCTTTGCTCAACATGGTGACAACTTTACACATGATCTGTACAGAGAAGAACAAGAACAGAGTTTAGTGTCATCACAATCTCCGAGTGTGTCTTGGTTTACTGGTTCATTTTATTAACCTTGAACCATGAAATTAACAGAAAACCTCAGAGAAATAAGATGTGCACTGAGGTTGAAAAGGAACAAAAATAAATAAAAATTGGGTTATTAAGAGTAAATAGTAAAGGAAGGGGTTTGTGTTTATATGATAAAAGGTTTCAGGGGGATGAATCTGGTTTTAAAAAAAAAAAAAAGAGAAAAAAAAACTGATTTGAGTTAAGTAAATTAGTGAATCGCTTATGCGCTAAAAGTGCCACTAATAAAAGAAAATCCACTTAACTTTGGTACCTTTAGATTAAATTATGCTGTACAATGATATTGCTGTCCTTATTTACTCATTTTAAACCATTTAGAAACTTGTCCCAGAATGTAATAAAAAGACACCACTGAAGGTTTCTACCTGGGCAGAACTTCACAGGTTTAACTGCTAAGTCACACCTACACCTGTAGCCTAAATCCAGTTTAGTGTTTTTATTCTGCCGTACTACATCAAGCCCAATCTCCAGCTACAATACTAAAACATTCCTCTGGTGTGCTCCACATATCACAATTTTTATATTTTACTATTCTTGATTATAACCACACAAAACAGGGTTCAACTTGAATTTGAGTTAAACAGAGGTTATTTTACATAAAAGTTTACGTAGTTTAACTCCCCGCTTTTCTCCTGGTGATCCCCGCCCCGCAGATTGAGAACCACTACAACATTTCTTTAAACATTTTTCGTTAAAATACAGTGTTGTCTTACAGCCACTGCCTCAATTTTGTAGTCATCGTCACTGCTCGGTTCTGTGAGGTCGAGTAGAACTGGACAAACTTTGGTCTCCATGTCAGCTTTAGAGATGAGGCCCTGCTCCAGCAGGACGAGCAGTGCTGCCTGACTCGTCTTCCGCACCTTAAAAATACAAGGGTCAGAGGTTAAAAACAAAACAAGGCAAACGAACAATACCAATTCATATGAATTTCTGCAATTACCTTATTTTTGTTTTCTTTAGGTCTACAGACTTACCTGGTTATTCGGATCAGTGAGATACCGGACAACAATTGGTACCAAGTATCTCGAGAAAGCAGCAGGGAAGTTGGGCCGACTCTCATGCAAAAACATGGCGATGTTAGGAATCTGCTCCATCAGCTCAGCTCGGACTGTGGGCTCTTAGTTACACAAATTGCAATATTTCATTAATGCACCACATTAAAAAAATAAAATAGAATAAACTGCAACCACAGCTACATACTGTGAAAACGAAAATACAGCTACCTCCATCTTCCGACATTCTCGCAACGGTCTCCATGACACTAATAAAGTCATTTTCATTGTCACTGAACTCTCGAAGCACATCAAGCAGGCCACGAGCCACGATTTGCCTAGAAAGCAATGGGAGCTTCAAGTTAGTGGACTGCCTGCCAATACCTACAAGTTTCAAAAGCACACAGCGTGACACACCGCACTGACAGAGCTGTCAAGTGCATTACACACACGTGCATTAGGAAATGACAGCAGAGCTTTAACCCTGCAAAGCTGAGCATGAAAAGCATAAAGACTGGAATGTAAGGCGTTCGTGTAGAGACACGAGCAGCTTTTGAGGTTGGAGACACCTCTGATTATTCTGCTTTGTTTTTTTACCCACCTGACCTGTGTCAGACTAAATACCTCCCCTTTATACACTGATAACAGAAAAACAGACCTTAAACTAAATATCCTTTAAACATATAACAGGGAGGGATTACAATAATCACTCTAAAGCCAGACAGCCAGCCTCCACACAGGGCTCTATGTTAAGTCTTTAGGTCTTCCTTCACAGTACGGGTTTAAAAAAAAAAAAAAACCATAACAAAAGGCTTAGAGATGACTTCTGAATGAAGGCCAGAAAACAAAAGGCTATCTCAGTGCAACCTTATGTTGCCACAAGTCTTTTAAGCAACTATTTCCCAACTGAGGAAAGTTGATGAAAAGTTTGTCTCAATATCTGGCTACATTTCCTTAAAGATTTTTATACAAGAAGTGACTTTTAACAGATGTTTCCTCGCTCCCCTCCATTGATTTGCACATGTTTCCTTGATGATAAGACCTTCAAAATTTGTTGTAATGCTACTGGCACACATTCTTATCATTAGAGGTGGGGATCACCATACATCCCACGATACGATATTGTTGCAATTTTTTTAAATATTTTGCGATATTCAGATTCTGTACATAAAGGTAAACTTTATCAATATTCATTTTATCTAATATCAAAGCCTCGCACTCAGTCTTTCTCTCATTTCAGTCAGTTTTATTGTTGACAAACTGAACGGTTTGTATTACAGTCTAGTCCAACTTAACTGAATGCAACCATCTGGTACAATTATAGCTATTCTGAACTATGCAATTTATGAAAACTATGCAGCCCCTTCAGCAACAGAAGAATTTGAAAGTAAACTAAAACAAAATATAATTTTACATTACATAAAAAAGTTTTAAACTTAATTAAAATAAAACATGTCTTAAATTAAAATAAGTAAACTGTCATGTTTATTGCTGCCAAAAAACAAGTTAAACACATTTGGACAGTGAGGGAATGTCAGGATTCTTGCTCAGAAAAAGGAGCTGATCAACATGCTCTGAAGTCAGAGCATGTTCCAGTCCACAAAAACTTTTTTGTAACAAAATATCGATTTCTGCTGTCCCTGTATCGATACATTATTAGCAAACAAAATATCACGATACTACACAGTATCGATTTTTTCCCCCACCCCTACTTATCATGCCGACATGTCTACAGTTTTGCTGCTAAGTTTGGATGACCACGCACCTGTTCACATTAGCCATCAAAACCCAACAAAGTCAATTCATCCTTCTTTAAGTTAGGAAAAAACAAAAGAAATTTTACTTTATATCAAATACGGGAAATAAGATACTTTTGTAATTTTGATACAACTACCACACACAAGCTTTAAGTGAGAAAATTTACATGGGCTTCTTGTGGATGGACGGACAGCTCAGAAGAGAAAACATACATTACTGTGAAGATAGCTTTGGACAGACATTTTGGAAACAGTAGCTAAACTGAAGCATTTTAGTATACATACAATTACTTCCAAAGTTCCTTATAGCAGCCACTGGTTTAAAATAATTTCAGTGAGCTTCAAATACCAAAGACAGCTCTAGTAGCTGTAGAATATTGTCGTAAAGTGAGATCTGAGTTGTGGTCAAAGCCAGCAGGTCAGTTTTCAGTCATAAAATATTTATTGCTCAGTGTTTACATTGCAGAATATGGTGTGTCAACCTATCCACAAATTTTCTTTGCTTTTGCAGACTAATGCATGACCAGCTTGACCACGGGCCTCTGCTTACCTGTTGAAGACATTCTCGCTGAAAGCATATTTCTCTAGCCTCCCGAGAGGAGTAAGGTTATCTTGTCCTGCATCCAGGAAGGCTGTGATGCGGATACCGTCGCACTCTGTACCATAGTCATCAAATCCAACTGTGGGAACAAAATAAAGATGATTTTAGATATACATATTGGATGACTATTCAAACGACTTCAAATACTAAGGGCCTAAATGATGGCCAATGGGTAAAACAGTAGTGAGAGTGCCAGGCTAAAGGTACTGAGTCAACTAGCTTTAAATATATAGATCTTTTTTAAAGTATTTCCATCTAGGACCCTGCTGAACAAAGCTCCTGTTATATGAAATTAAATAATTCTACAATAGTACGCTATTTTTAGTGCAGTGTTATTGGCATACTTACAATCATCCAGATCATCATGGCCATCTTCAAAGTATAAAGATAGACCTGCAATAACAAGGCAGTTAGTGAGGTAGGGATCCATGGCGGAAGAACCATCTCTTATTGACACCCTGGTCTGAATGGCACATTTAGAGTAAGTCAATTACTAAGAGGGGGCAAAGTCTCCTAGCTATAAATCACAGTAGTCTCCCTAATGTCATCACTTGGTGAAAGCGAAACTTGATGCATTCAAGTGATATTGTCACTGCTATGGCCTGGAGGAGAAGCAAATCCAATCAATGCTTATCACAGTGATTAGCGAAGGGAGCTGAGATCAGACTCCAGTTAAAAACAGGTAACAAACTGTGCAATTCATCAGAATAGCATCCATTCATCAGTGTTGGCAAAAAACAATGACCACAAACTGGCAATTGGGGCTTTCACACATTTTAATCTTGTGCAAGCCTTTAAAAAAACAAAAAAAAAAACAAAAAAAAACAAAAAAAAACAAAACAACAACTTTATTCTACACCATGGTCAAGCAGATACAGAGGTGATAATAAAAAAAGCTGGTTTAACAGTGAAAACCTGTCTAGGCCTACTTTGATCTCCTAACACATTAAATTGAACAGAATCAATTAAAGAAACAAACTGACTGATATCCACCCCCAATTTTCTTGATCAAGAATAATTTATAATTTCATTTTTTGCTTCATTGCACAGTTTTCTTTAGTTAATAAGCTGCAATGGTCAAGTGCACATCCATAAAAGCACAGATGAACAATGCAGGTTATTATCATGATGTGAGATCATTCAATTGTCAGTTTGGTGCTATTTAAACTGCACTCTATTAAATGCTAATGCATTTATTTTTCTGACAATCCTCCCTGATGAAAATGGATTTAACAATCATCTATTACAATGCATATAGCGTAACATGAAGGCCTTCATCCTCCAAACTGCACAGACAGTTTGATCGTCTTAAACTGAACATTAAATCCTTAATTATGACAAAATGTATAAGGTTGTATCGGACTGCATTCTTTTTAGCTTGGTGTACCTAATACAATAAATCCAACCCTCATTGTGCATTCAATTGCAGCCAACCACAGCACTTAACACACTTTTTGTTTTTCTTTCATCTTGCAAAAAGACATAACACGGTCATGATTAATGATTGCAGAATTACTTGATAGGAAATTCAATTTCCAGGTTAAACTTTACCCTATCACTCCATTCAAGCTGATATTTTAGTTATTTGTTTTTATTTTTTTCCACTGGCTCAATATCAGAGATTTCAAGCAACTCATATTGAATAATGCCAAACATCTTGAATATGGCCAGATTGGCATGTCACCCGTCTCATATGCGTCATACTGGTCTGCACTTGTATTGTCTGATATGTGCCGATATAAAAACACGGCTCAATAATTCAGAATTGCTGTCATAACAGTTTCTCCAGCAGAGCAGCTACGCTGTTGGCTCAGCTCAGCACTTTCCGCATCACATGCAGCAGAGTCAAAAGACGTAGTCATGATAAACTGCAAAGTAGTTTGCAAAATGCAATGTAAAAACTGTATTTTTGAGATAGAGATATATATATCTCAAAATATGATGAAAATATATATATATTCATCATGGGTCGCCACAGCACGCCATCTGTCTTCATCTCACACTATCTCTAACCAGCCTCCTTTCACATCAACCATACATGTCCTCCTTCACTACATCCATGTAGCTTGTCTGTGGTCTTCTTCCCCCCCCCTGCCTCGCAGATCCATCTTTAACTTCGTTTATCTAGCATATTCACCATCCCCTCCTCTGCATGTCCAAACCATTAGAGTCTTGCCTCAATGCCTCTCCAAACTGCAAGACCTGAGCTGATCAATTCAATTCAGTTTAATTTATATATTCGTTCCTTAACATATATAAATATCTTCGAATCTAACACATATATATATATATATATGAACTATGAACAGGTAATTATCAGATTTATTTATTTTTTGATAAAAGTCGAATTATATTTTGGTTGGGATTTATTCGTTTAATAGTAGTAAGTACCAAATCCATAAAAATAATAATGGCTTAAAATTATATTTACAGCCCTACGCTAAATGCATTTAAAGTTCTTTTCCCCCTATTTACAAATTAGCACATTTTCAAAAACAAATGTGTGCGTAATCATGTTATCTAGCACAAGAAGACCTTCTTTCACTGTTTATTTTCAATACCACCCAGCCCTCGATATAGGACAATAGCAGATGGGGGGTTTGTAGTCAACGGAAGAGACCAGAAATAAGTCCCATGAGGAGAAGCCAGTGTTTACAGCTGGGCAAGCAAGGGAATGTGCTCTAAATATAATACAGTGCCTACCTCGAAATCACACATTAAACGAGGCGTTTCATGAGTAGAATAATCAACGGCATAATATATATAACAACACCCCAAAAAACCACGCTGGCACAAAACAACATCGCGCCTTTGTTGTGATGTAAAACAGGATTTGGTCAGCTTATGGCTGATCATGACTTTAGCAACTCAGCTAACGTTGGCTAGGTCAACTCGCTCGCGTTTGCTATGATAACAGATCGATAATAAACACGGGTCATAGTATTCTCCCATCGAGGTCTGAAGAGACTAAAAAAGTAATCTACATGCAATGAGCAAATATATGATTCAGTGTAGTCCCAAAGTCACCCATTTCGATACCCCGTAAGGAGCTTTCGTTAGCTTAGCCTGCTAGATGCTGCTAAGTTTGCTAACATGGCTTGTCTAGCCCTTTCGCTTGACTTCTCTCCCACTTCGTTCTGCAGTACTACACAGGAAGTGGAGCAGAAGCCGTTATTTAACTACTAAAAACCTCAACTGCCCGAAAACACTTTACAAATGCCAGCACAGCGCCAAAATATTAAAGAAAACTCGGGTTAAAAAGTGCCATTACCTGCCATCTTGAGCGTCGGCTCGGCTCTGCGGGCTGCCGTCCCGTGTGGGCTGTCACCTCCGCACAGCTGTCACTCAAACACTGAGGCAAACTACTTCCTGAAAGTACTTCCTGATGCTGCTTTTCACTGGTTAATTACGTATTAAACAACTATATCGAAAAACGTTACTCATCTCGGGCAAAAACTCGACATAAGTGAGATTAAAATAGCGCCTGTGGGAGGGCTTTGTGTATCTCCAAAAGAAAAAAAAGGAGAAAGGAAGAAAAAAAAGCCGAAGCAGTCACGTGATCGCATGCCGTAGTTCAAGATGGAGACTCGGCGATGTGGTGGAGGTAGCTGTTTACAATAATCACAACATGGCAAATACGACGACCTGCAGGACGTTTTAACGTTTACAGCGAGAGTTGTTACCCAACCTAAGATGTGCGTATGCCAGCTTCAGAACACGATGTTGTAAAGTTGTTTGTAAACAAAGACCACCTGAAGAATATTCAAGATTTAAAAAAAAAGGCAAGCAGAGGAGAAAACAGCCAATGATCTTCATCGCAAATTCGATGTGAGAGAGGAGATCGATATGGCTCTGAGAGAGTTAAAAGTCTGCCTCTTGGGGGTGAGTAAGCATCGATATTTTTCAATCTGATTGTACATATGCACACTTTAACTGGAGCATTAATGGAGCTGTCCTGCTCTACTTCCACATAACACATACCTATACTTCTCTAATGGACCGTAATGAAAATTTCTGATATAGTGAGTGGCAATACAACCTCAAAATAAATAGATCTGCGCCAGTGATGACACTCATGCTTATCTACATTGAATTACACTCAGTAGCTGCACAAGGCATCAATCACTTGATCAACGTCCCATTCAAATTGTATTATCCACTACTGAAGGAACATCCTCACATCTTCTCTTCTCTGTCATCCACTTACAGGATTACATCAGCGTTGACAATATTAGTCAAGCTATTAGTGTCACTATTACTCAAATTAGAAAATAGTCAGCCTGCTGCTATTTTAAGAATAGATCAGGTAAATCTCAATCATTAGTGTCAATGTAAATTTAATATCTTTAAGTTCTGATCTCTTTTGGACAAAAACAAGACATTTGGCGCTGTCACATTGCTCTCTAGGAAACTATGCGTACATTCATACTCTAAAGTTGTGATAACCTGCAAAATCTCACTATTAACCCCTACAGCGGCTCTATTTTGATAGCAGGAAGACTTTGCTGGTTTGTATTTAGCGACGTCCTTTGCGTGGTGTGGTCACCTCTACCCTGTCACTGACGGTAATTTCTAACAGGAAACGTCATTCATAGGCCATGAGGGCTCTCTGAATGGAATGACCAGCATGAAAACAATGTCTGCTATGACACTGACAGTCATCTTTCAAATCACATTTTGTGCTGACTTGTCAGACAGGCCTTCCACCACCATCACTGAACAGCTTACATAAAAGTGGCTTGGGCACCTTTAGTAGAGTTTCCGTGACTCAAATCTATGGTGCGGTGAAGCTGCACTGCTGGTTTATTCGGCAGCTTACCAAAACATTTTGTGTTGATTTTTTTTGTCCCTTCATTTCAACACACATCTGTAGCTATGTTAGACAGCATTACTAGTCATTCCTGCAGTATTTATTTACAAATGAGGCTCATTAACTTAATGCATATTTTAATTGGAAATAAAGACACAACAAAACAGGATGATTAGCCATTCATTTTCTGTAGATCTACTAATAAGATTAAGATAGCATAGAGACAATAAGCTAGTTCATTAACTAGCAGACTGGAATTATGACAACCCTGATTATGTATCATTTTGGTCATCTTTAAGATAATTAAATTAGTTAAAACAAGATATGTTACTGAATAAATGGTTAACTGATGGACCACACAAACAAAACATCCATGTCTAGACTGCTACAGCAGCAGCATAAACCACCATTGTCTGTGGGCGTATCTCGTGATAACGCTCAGGTCAGACTTGTCCTCTTCTTTTTCTCCTAATGTAAACAATGTAAACCCTTTTCCCTCTTCCATAAGTAATTTACAGATTTATACCAGCAGTGGCAGGAAGGAAGAGGATCCCATAAAAATGTTTTAATATCCAGGCATATTGCCAAAGATTGTTCTCATATTCTTCAAGTACCATGTTTAGTAAGCATGATCTTTATTTTGTCTGTGCAGGATACTGGAGTTGGAAAGTCAAGTATTGTTTGGAGATTTGTGGAGGACAGCTTTGACCCAAACATTAATCCAACTATTGGGTATGTTTTGCTGCCTTCCACTTCCACAGAAGTTTTATTTTTTCCATCTCCCTCATTTGTTGTAGTTTTACAGGTCGTTATGATGCCCATTAGAGTTATCAGTTAACCACTGGCAAAGAAATGGGCATGAAAATCACTTCTTAAATAACTCGTTTGCTCCAGATTTCAAAATATCTGGACTTTCTTGTGTTCTTTGTCTGTGGCTAAACTAAGTAACTTTGGTGTCAAAGACTTTTTCATCCAACAAATTTTTGAACGTATTATGAACAATATTTGTTTTCTGACATTTTCGAACAAGGAACTAAGAAAACAGCTTTACAACTGAACTGTGCAGTTTTGACATTTAGCCTTTCATAGGGGGCGATCGTGGCTCAAGAGTTGGCAGTTTGTCTTGTAATTGGAAGGTTGCCGGTTCGAGCCCCGGTTTGGACAGTCTCGGTCGTTGTGTCCTTGGGCAAGACACTTCACCCATTGCCTACTGGTGGTGGTCAGAGGGCCCGGTGGCGCCAGTGTCCGGCGGCCTCGCCTCTGTCAGTGCGCCCCAGGGCAGCTGTAGCTACAATGTAGCTGCCATCACCAGTGTGTGAATGTGTGTGTGACTGAACGTGTAAAGTGCTTTGGGGTCCTTAGGGACTATGTAAAGCGCTATATAAATACAGGCCATTTACCATTTCATAGGATAAATAAATGAGTTTTTCTATGTTATAACATTGTACAAAATAAAATCAAATTTTTCTTGCTTGAGCTCAAGTAACATAAACATCTTTAAAACTCAAGTTTGATATGTGGTGGCAGGAATTTTTAGTATTTTTTTAAACTTTTTTGTCAGCATACTTTTTAACAGGAGAAGAAATAATAAATACTAGATACAAACAGCTGCTCCACACACTTATTTTTGGCACTTTGAAATATCTGATGATTATTGGCAAACGGGTTGTTATTGAAATTTGTTCTTGAAATCTCCAGTTTTGTAATTGAGACCAAATGTTAGTTTTGCTGTCAGACTTAAAGAATCCAGTACTGAGCTGGCTCAGATTGATGTGATGTAAATCAGCTTTTTATTGCTAGAATACAGTTTAATGGTAAACAGGAAAAAAATCTGCAAGTGTTTATTTTTCAAATCTGCAACGTGTCATGTTTCTCTTCACCAGGGCATCCTTCATGACCAAAACAGTGCAATACCAAAATGAGCTGCACAAATTCCTGATCTGGGACACGGCAGGACAGGAGCGGGTTAGTATTATGTGCTGAGGTATTAATCGTAACAGCTTCAGTGAATAGTTTTTATATTACCATCAACCTGTTTGTAGTATTGAACGGTCTACTTATCCCCACCGTGTTCTTTGAAAGCATGTGAAAGAATTGCCCACACGTACATCATTCCTTAAACCAACCATAAGAAAACTGAATACTGCAGTTAGTCATAACTTCTGATAGGGGGCAATATTTACCTTACTATAGGTAGAATTCTTCCAGTTCACTTATAATCAACTTATTTTAGTACTCTTGTTCTAAGAGTTCCTTTTCCAAATTTTAATTTAGTGAGTGAAGTCACATAAAAAAGGTTACATTTTTTCCTTTTGTCGCCTTTGATCTCTCTCCCTTCCTCCTCTCTCCTCCTCGTAATTGTGTTAGTTTTTTAGAGACAAACAAAAAAGGGAACCACTGGCATTGTTTTGTTATTTTATGTTTTCACACTTCTCCAAAGTGTTGTTTGTCAGCAGTTTATATGCCGATGCAGCTCTTCTTATCTGATCTGCTCTGCTGTGTGTTTGTAAATATACATTATGAAATATTTTGCCACCCATGCAACGGTCAGAACTCGAATCACACTTTGCAAATGATATGCGATATAGGAGAGAAGCTGTATTTTGGCGTTTTCATTTAAGCCGGTGAAATCGATATGTAGCGTAAGGAACTGCTTTCGCTTGACTCACGCTATAGCCGACCTTTCTCTGCATTACATATTCACGCCACTTCCTTTTTTATGCTCAAGGCCTTCTCCTTTTCTCATGCGTAAGACTTTCTATTGTAATGTGGTACCCCTAGTGCTGCATTCGCTGGAGAGGTGAGATAAGATGCTGCTTGTGTTTTATTCCTCTGTTTTTTTGTGGACTTCAGGGACATTCAGGAAGCCAATTTAAAATCAGACAAGAGGATAAAACTCAAGCTTTCTGAGCTCACTGGCATGCGCTGCTGCTGTATCTTATCTTTGAGCCAGTGCCACTCTACGTCATCATGTCCTCTTTTTTTCTCCTTTGCTTTCATCTGTGCAACATTTTATTTCATTTTCTTCTGGGTTATTTTTTCCCTCTCATTTTTGTTCACTTTTTCATGCCCATGTAGCCTCTCGGTTTTCCAAGTGGCTCACATCTGCGACTGAAAAAGTAGCAACATTCCTTTGGTAGGTTTCGCATGTGTCTGCGTTTTTTTTTTTTTCCCCTACAAGACTGTTGTGGTATTTGGAGGCTTTTCATGGCTTGTTTTCTAACCTCGGTGGAGCTTTGGCCTATTGAAATCTGTGGAGTTGAGAACGAGGAACACAAAGCCAGCCAATGCATGTGAAAGGAGAGACTAGGGCAGAAAGGAAAGCTCAGTGATTTCCACAAGCAAAACCCATATCTCAAGACCAGATGAGGCCTTACGAGCACATCTGAGCCCAGCTGTCAACAGCCCATCCAGGCCTCCCCCTGGAGGACTGCTCCTTTTTACAGAAAACAAGCAAAAGGGAGCATGCGTCCTAACGGAATAGGAGGGTGCCTTTCATTACACACCCAGCTTGTGGTTTCTGCAATTAATCAGTACTCACTGG